GAACAGTAAGCTGTTCATTTATAAAAAAAATAACACTGGGGCTGGAGAGATGGCTCAGAGGTTAAGAGCACTGGCTGCTCTTCCAGAGTTCCTGAGTTCAATTCCCAGCAACTACAAGGTGGTTCACAACCATCTGTAATGAGGTCTGGTGCCCTCTTCTGGCCTGCAGACATACATGGAGGCTAAACACTGTGTACAAAATAAATAAATAAATCTTTTTTAAAAAAGAAAGAAAACTGTCATAGTGTGGTGGCCTGCGGCTGTAAGGCCAGCAGTGAGAGGCTGAGGCAGGAAGACTGTCACCACTAGGCCAGCCTGAAATGTACAGCAAACATTGACTACAACTTTAAAACCTTTCGATTTTATGAATATGGCTGTTTTGTCTGCACACGTCTGTGCACCGTTTGTGTACGTTGTGCCTGGTGAGTCCCTAAGAAGGTATCGGATCTCCTGGAACTGAATGACATTAAGAGACAGTTGTGAAAAAAAAAAAAGAGACAGTTGTGAGATACTACTGTCTAAGAAGTGCTAAGAATCAAACCTGGGTCCTCTGGGCTAGCAGCCAGCAATCCTAACCTCTGGATTATCTACCCTTCCCCTTGACTAAAACTTTTAAAACCCCTACATACACAAAGCAATGTCAAGAACAGTAATTAACCTAATCACCGACTACAATTCAATTCTAGGTCACCATTCATTAGGACAGTAAGATGATGACTTCAAACATGACTGAAGGAGGCTGGCTAGACGAATCCGTGAGTAAAGGCACTTGCCATGACAGCCTAGAGAACTAAGTTACATGCCCAGAACCCACCTCCACCAGGTTCTCTTCTGACCTCTCCACATGTGGTCACTGTGTCACAGACGCCGGTACACACATCACACACACACAAATAATAATAATAATGATAATAATAATTTTTAAATAATTTTAAGTTTGTGAAGTAGATAAGAATATTCAAAAGGACAAAGTATAAAGTATTTCACTGGTTCTGTCAAAAATATGGGAGAGCCGGGCGGTGGTGGCGCACGCCTTTAATCCCAGCACTCGGGAGGCAGAGGCAGGCGGATCTCTGTGAGTTCGAGGCCAGCCTGGTCTACAAGACCTAGTTCCAGGACAGGAACCAAAAAGCTACGGAGAAACCCTGTCTCGAAAAATCAAAAAAAAAAAAAAATATGGGAGAAATGTGCAATCCAACACAAAAATATTAATTTTAGCTGCAATGTGTCTTCACCATGAGCAAAATCAGAAAATAGTTGAAGAGATAAACAGCCCTATTCACCAGACACCTTGCTAAAGACAGGACAGGGGTCACCTTATGTTTAATTATGAGTATTGAAGAAAAAAAATAAGGAACAGGATCAAAATCAGATCCGCCCCCCAAAAAATAAGGGCATAAGAAATAAGCATGGACAGCCCAATTAAGTCCCTATTCGGCGTAAAAGTAGCATCTCCACTTTACTGAGCTATCCAGGGTTTCCAATAGGGTTGGGGACGGGGGCACCCAGAAGTCTCCACGGGTGGTCCCGCAGACTGGAAAAGCGGCTGTGGAGGGCAAAGGAAAACGTGCGGGGCGACTCCTTAAAAGACCCGTCCGCGTCTGCCGATGGATCGGCAACCAACCCAGAACCAAGAGGACTTTCTCAGGGTCCAGCCGAGCCCTCCCGCCTCGCTCCAGCTGTTACCTGGCACATCCTCCGTGCCCTCCATCAACATATCCTTCGTGAAGTTTGAAATCTGGTCTGTGAGGGACGCCAGGCTGCCCCCTACTTGACCCAGAGACTGGCCCAAGCCGGAGCCGAGGCCCCCGAACCAGGAGGACATCGCTGCGGGTGGAGAGCACGGTGTCCGCTCCAAATGTCCCCGAACGCTCGCGGCTGGTGTGGATCCAGACACCAGAACTCGCAGGACGCGGCACTCCCACCACCGGCCGCGTCAAAGCCGAGGCCCGGCCGGGCGCTTCGCCAAGGGCTCGCCGCAGTGGGCGCCGAACGGGGCCTCTGCCCCTTCCCACGACTTCCCACCCAACGACTGGAGCACTCTTTGTCAACTTTAGTGACTTTCATCAGTTTCCTGGGACAGTCCTGCCAACTCAACGCCGGCCGCCACAACAGCGCCGGCAAAGTGGCAGCGACTGTTGAGATCCTCGGTGACGGGTGGCGTCAAACGGCCGCTGTCTGACGCGTCCTAGGCGCGAAGGACTGTGGGATTGCGGAGGTCCGCCTGTGGGCGGGCAAGACGGTAGTTTCTGCTCAACCAGCCGGAGGTGGAGACGGAAGAGGCGGTGGAAGCCGGGCGCTTTCCACCAGCACAACTATGTTTGTTTGTAGGTGGGAGGCAGCCCTTGGTGGGGGGACGTCTCCTTAATCCTACCTACAGGAGCTGTTGCGTGGCTGCGAGACAATTCGACAGGGTCCTCCCACCACGCGGGGAAGCCCACCCACATTACTCTATTTTCCAGCCTTTGTGAGTCGGCTCCGTGCCAGAGCCTTGGAAACAGCTACAGAGCTGCAAAAGCGGAACGCAATTCAAGAGTCCAAGCAGAAAGCACGTTTTTGTTTTGTTTTTAGTTTTTCGAGACAGGGTTTCTCTGTGTTGCCTTGTCTGTCCTGGAACTCTTAGATCCACCTGCCTCTGCCTGCCTCCTGAGTGCTGGGATTAAAAACTTGTGCCACCACTGTCCAGCCTCGCCCTCCCACCCCCCACCTCGGCCCCGCCAATTACCTTGTACAGAAAGGAACATTAGGAGTATCCCCAGTATGTGGAATCTGATTACTCCTTACCGAATTATCTGTTGCTGGAATCTGAATAATCTCACCAGATATCTATCTACTTGAGTGCCTCCAAGGGGTTTTCAAACTTCCGTGTCCCAGAACAAGGAATTGGACAGGGATGTATGAATAGTAGCAAGGAAGGTGAGAAAATGCATTGAGAAAAAGCACAAACCAAAGAAAAGAAGCAAACCAGAACATTGTCTGTAGTGGTGGGGTTGATGAGCTACATCTTCAACTTGATTTGGTGAAGAATTTTTTTGGTGCTGAGGATTAAGTCCGGAGACTTGTGCACACCATGCATATAGGTTTAGCTACAGTTTCAACCTTTGTTTGAGACAGGAGCTCCTGTAACCCAAGTGGGCTTCAAACTGATGATCTTTCTACTTCCACCTCCTGAGTACTGGAATTACATGTACCATCATGTACAACATTTGGGGGGAGGTAGGGTTTGGGTGTGTGTGTGTGTGTGTGTGTGTGTGTGTGTGTGTGTGTGTGTGTTTGGTCCTAAATAGCTATGGAGCCAGGCCTGGAAGTCGCTCTGTAGACAAGGCTGGCCTCGAATTTACAGAGATCTGCCTGCCTCTGCCTTCCGTGTGCTGGGATTAAAGGTGGGCGCCACCGCCAACCCGGCACAACATTGTTTAAATGTAGCGTGCATCACCGTCACATGACTAACATGTCCATGTTATTCTGGGCACTGGGGATGGAGCAGGATAAGATCTGTGAGTTTATAAAGACTGCATCTGAACCGGAGGGCACAACTAGACAAAATGTAGTGTTAGATAGAAGCTGATGACTGACGTTAGGGGGGAAAGGAAACAGGGGCATGGGATGGTAAATGAGGCACTGGTTATGCAGAGGATGGTTAAGGCCTCAATGATAAGGGAATCTTGGGTAGAAACTTTAAACAAGTGAGGTATACAGATACAGGGGGTCTAGACAGGAAGAGACAACTGAATACAAAGTCTTTTAGACAGGATATCCTGGCCAGCTTTGAGAATTTATAAGAAGGCGAGACAGTCTTGAGCAGAATGGATTGGGAAGATTTGTAATCGAGGGCCTAGAAAGTATGGAGTAGGCAAGTCACAGGGACTGGTAGGCCATTAACAGGACTCTGACTTATGTCCGTGCACGATGACAAGTGAACATGAGCTTGGGACTTAGTTGGGCTCCTGAATGACTGAAATGTTCAGCAACTGTAATTAAGCTCATGTTTTCTGTAGGTTTAAACTCTCCAGAGCTCCGTGTCTGTTGGAACACTGTCCAAGAATGGAACTGTATGAGAATTCTGAGTGTTTGTGAAAAAACAAAACAAGCATCTTGTGACCTCCTTTTCTTCAAAAAACAGAGCATTTTTCTCAGAATGTGCTTTTGTGCCCCTCCCAGATGTGGCGGATACATACAAATGAGATACAAATGAATTTACTGCAGATTAGCCATTACAACTGGCTATTGTTTAGATGCCACTAAGGGAAAAACAGGTTTTTGCCACGTAAGGGTTTCTTTCCCATCACCTCTGACTTGCCCTTGTGATTATACACTTTACCCATGTGACTCCTCTTAACCTTCAGAGTATAAACTGTCTCATTCTCTGAATAAAATTAGCTATCACAGGGCTGGAGAGATGGCTCCATAATTGAGAGCACTCGTTGTCTTCCAGAGGCCCTGAGTTCAATTCCCAGCAATCATATGGTGGCTGCCAATCCATAATGAGATCTGGTGCCCTCTTCTGGTCTGCAGACAGACATACAGGCAGAACGCTGTCTACGTAATAAATAAACCTTTAAAAAAAAAAACAAATAAAATTGGCTATTGTATGAGGCTTTAGTTCACCTCACTTCTCGGCTCCATTCTCTCAGGTCCCCCCACCTCTAGAGAGGTTCATAAATTCACACTGTGCTACAAAATTAACGTAATGAATGAAGAAAATGCGCAGTAAGCTTTTGTACCATTTATTAGTCCAAATGTTACATTCTAAAACAGTGGTTCTCAACCTTCCTAATGCTACAGCCCTTCAATACAATTCCTCATGTTGTGGTGACCCCACAACCATAAAATTATTTCATTCGAGCCAGGCACACGCCTTTAATCCCAGCACTCAGGAGGCAGAGGCAGGCAGATCTTTTTGAGTCTGAGGACAGTGTGGTCTACAGAGTGACTCTTCCAGTACAGCCAGGGCTACAACAGAAACGCTGTCTTGAAAAACAAACAAACAAAAAAAACCCTCACTTTAGCAGCACATATACTAAAACTGGAACAATACAGAGAGGATGAGCATGGTCTCTGCACAAGGATGACACACAAATTCGTGAAGAATTACAAAAAAAAAAAATTGTCAGAGGCCAGGCAGGGTCAGGTGATCTCTATGAGCCCCAGGCCAGCCTGGTCTACATAGTAAGGTCAAAGCCAGCCAGAGTAACATGGTGAGACCCTGTCTCAAAAAATAAAATAAGTATTGGGGAAAAAATAAAATGGTAAGATATTGTCAGATATTAGTCATGATTGAAATTGGGTGGAGTACACAGTTGTTCATTATATTAATCTTGGTTTTTTTTTGGTTTTTTTTTTTTTTTGGTTTTTTTCAGACAGGGTTTCTCTGTGGCTTTGGAGCCTGTCCTGGAACTAGCTCTGTAGACCAGGCTGGTCTCGAACTCACAGAGATCCACCTGCCTCTGCCTCCCGTGTGCTGGGATTAAAGGCGTGCGCCACCACCGCCCGGCTATTAATCTTGTTTTTACATATGTTTAAATGAATTTTTTTCTAGTAAGCTTAAAACATACATTTGATAACATACATCTGATTTTAAAATGCTGTTCTAGTTTGGTTTTCTGTTGCTGTTAAAAAAAAAAAAACCAACAAACAGAAACACCATAGCCAAAAGCAAGTTGGAGGAGAGAATTTATTTCATTTTACAACTCCCAAGTTAAAATCTATCAGAGGAAAGTCTCGGCAGGAATGCCCAGAATTTGTATAGTAGAAGCCCACCTGCCTAAGGATGGTCTCACCCGCAGTGGCTGATCCTCCTGCATCAAATAAAATAAATAGTACCCACAGCCACTCTGATGGAGGCAATTCTTCAATTGAACCTCCCTCTTCCCAGGCAGTCAAGTTGACATCCAAGATAAATCATCACAGATGTCTCTTCCCTTTCCTCCCAAACACCCCAATAGTTAGCTAGAGTGTTTCTGATCCTCACAAACACCCCAATAGTTAGCCTGAGTGCTCTTGATCACCATTCAGGAAGTTGCAAGATCAACACAGCACAAATAAACACATCAGAGAAGCCCCAAGCCTCAGTGGTTCCAAGTAGTAAACCCCTAATCAGGAAAATACTATCAGTGTACCTTCCCCCTTCCTGCCACCCCCATCTCACTATGTAGCCTGGCTACTTGGATTTGCTACATAGAGCAGGTTGGCCTCAAACTCAATAGAGATCTACCTATCTCTGCCTCCCAAGTGCTAGGATTAAAGATATATGCTTCCACTCCCAACATTTCCTCATTAATACTAAATACTACCCATTGCATTTATGAAAAACAGAATATTTGACATGTCCCTATTCCCTTTCCTTCTGGGCTCTAGTGTTACAATCACTGAGAAGTCATCAATGTTTACATTGCATGGTTTGGTGTGGTTTGAGGGAGATGTTCTGAAGTATTGTTTGACTACTTCATCCCTAGCTGGTGGCACTGTTTGGGGAGCTTATGGAACTCTTTAAGTGAGGCCTAGCTGTAGTACTAGGGGCAGGTCTTGGAAGGTTACAGGACAGCCTCAAAACCTGTCTAGTCTTGTTTCCCGACCTGCCAAGATGGAAGATGTGGTTGTAGGGGAATACTATTTAAGGTATGTTCCTTTTGTTTATGCTGCATTTGTTTAATTGTGTGAAGCTATGTTACTGTCTAATAAAGAGCTGAACAGCCAATAGGGAGGCAGAAGAGAGAAACAGGCGGGGCCGGCAGGCAAAGAGGATGATTATGAGGAGAACTCTGGGGAAAAGGGATCTGGAAACTAGAAAGGAAAAAGGAAGACTTCAGAGGCCAGTCATCCAACTACACAACCAGGCACGGAGTAAGAAGGAAAGAAAAGATATAGAGAAATAGAGGAAGGTAAAAGCCCCGAGGCCAAAGATAGATGGGATAAGTTAAGAAAAGCTGGCACGCAAACAAGGCAAGCTAAGGCCAAGCATTCATAACTAAGAATAAGACTCCATGTGAGATTTATTTGGGAGCTGGGTGGTGGGCCCCCCAAAAGAGTAAAATACCAACATGTGGTAGCTGCTATGCCCTCCCTGCCATGAGGGCCTGTACCCTCAGAAACTGTCAGCCCAAACTGATCATTTCTAAGTTGTGTCTTGCCAGGCATTTTGTCACAGTAGCGAGAAAGGCAGCTAATAGATTATATACACTTTGTTTATTGCTACTGAGTCATGTAGTGTATTAAACATTCCTCGTACAGCACAGGCCTTGAGAACATTCACATTCTGAATGAGTAGTATTACTCAAGCCTATTTCTAAGAACCTAGAACAATCCATGGCCAAGGGTAAGCACACAGATGGTTCACTTTCTCTGTGGTGACCCGAGAGACAAAGGGTGGCTCAGGTCCGTGGCACAGTGTAGAGAATGGTCCAGAGGAAAACAATGCTAGCCAGGCACAAATAGCACAAACCTGCAAACCCAGCACTCAGGAGTCTGAAGCAAGAGACCAAATGCTCCAAATCAGTTAAGGCTATATAGAAAATGCCTCAGATTTATAAAAACCAGTTATTAATGTGCTTTGTCCCTCAAGGTTAAGAACTGAACGAACATTTAAAACCAGATTTCAAGGAAGAATGTGGCTGAGGAGATGGCACAGGTGTAAAGGCCTTGCAAGCAATTAAAGTTGTGGAAGCCTTGTGTATCTGGGATCGGGTGGTAATATATTTTCTGAGAGGAATCTGCTTCATGCACCACTACAGCTGCATAAAAACACGCAACTCCATAGATTCCCTAAGTTCCAGCTACAGTGGGTCTGACTGTGACCTGAAACTGACATTGGGAAACGCTCCCACAAGACAGACATGCAGCTGTGTCTCCCAAGAGACTCTGAATAGCAAGTCCATGAATTAACAATGAACACAGAAAGGTTAATAGAAAAGCAACCATTCTCTTTATTTAATAATCTCTGATATTTAAAATACAACTCATTAACATCCACACCAACAGAACCTTCTGTGTTCAACAGTGCTTTGGGAAGCCCAGCTTTCGAAGGAGCAGACAGACGGAAGACCTGTGGAGTGGCAGCCCATAACTCGAGGAGACCGGGCACATGATAAGGGCTGCAGACTTGGGTCCTGAGCGAACTGTACTTTTTATTTCACGGCTTTTGCACTTAAGTTTCAAATATTTTATACAGAACAGTCAATGTTTAAAAAAGTTATTCCTATTTAGTCCAGTGTTGTAAAAATTAGATAATCACATTTCAAATGTCTGTCATCCTCTAAAAAAAAAAAAGAAATTTAAAAAAATCCAGGAAACATACCACCTTTAAACTATACAAGAGACATTGAGTATTTCTTAAATTACTGCGTTTTCCACATACTTTCCACTACAAATTTGTCTATGACTGCAACCTTAACATGTGTACTGGTATTGTTAAACATCCATAATAACCTACATAAATTTAGGGAGTGCATTGTTTTGTTTTAATTCTTAAAATGACTGACCATTATAGAAATAAAAAATACCCTCAAATTTCTTCATGAAAGACTACAACAAAACTTTTTATTATGTGTAACACTTTGGAAAAAATACAAACCAGATTTGTTTCTTTAGCTCATTATAAACTAATTAGGAATGAAGGGGGGATTTTTGTTTTAAATATGAAAAACAAAAATTATCTACACTACTGATTAGTTAATCCAATCTGGTGTTTCTTGACTAAGGTCACATCACCACAGCTCTACACATGGGCTAAAGCACAGCCAACACTTCACTTTCAAAGTACTCCCTTAAGGCTCTCTAGATGCAGACTGCACGTCGAACTTTGTTCTTTGCATTGGTAAGGACTGAACGCAAGGCCTGGGCCAGTAGGCAACCACTCACCGCTGCTGGATCCGCAGCTGGAGTTAAAGGACTCCATATTAATCACTCAGTCCTCTTACTACATCAGGATTTCCCAACTTAAAAATCTCAGATAGCACAGTTTGGTCCTGCAGTACCCACTTTGGACTTGTGCAGGTCATAGGAGTCAGTTGCAAGAATTTATTAACTCTTGGCACTGGCATGATTTAAAAATAGTATCAAACATGCAGGTATTCAAAATATGTGGTTTAAACTCTGACATGAATAAAACTTAATCAACTTGATATTAAATAAAACAATGCATACTACTCAATTTGAGCATTCTTCCTCATTAACTTTGGCTTCATCAAGAAAAATTCAAGTTTGCAGGGGGAAAAAAAAGCACCAACTAAAATACCATCTGTGAACTGTAAATGTTTTTATCTTAAAAAGTTAATGCAGAATTTACCTACACTACTGTATCAAACAATTTATATTAGTGGAATATCTGCATATTGCTGTCTTTTGTTTGTTTGCTTGTTTGTTTTTGTAATTTATGGTTTAGGCCACAGGGCAGCTATTCTGAAATTTTAAAATATAAGTAAGCCCATGATTTCCCAAAAGGAAAAGTGGTCTTTCCCAAGTTTTTTTTTTTCCTTTCTTTTTTTAAGACAAGGTCTCACTGTGCAGCTCTAACAGGTTAGAACTCACTCTGTAGACCAGGCTGGCCATGAAGTCAGAGAGCTCTACATGCCTCTGCCTCCTGAGTGCTGGGGTTAAAGGTGAGCATTACCATGGCTGTCTTTCCAAAGTGTTCTCACAGTTGCTTGTGACACTAGAATTACAACTGTACATATTTGATCTGTCGGTACAAGCTACACATTAGAAAAAAAAATGATACCAGTAGTTTAAAAATGAAACATCAGGAGCTCCCAATTGGTAAAAACAGAATGTCAAGTCAAGTCCGTAACGCAACTGTGATGGTGGACTCCCTTGCCCCCGACTGTCCTTCAGTGATGTCCAGCAAAAAGCAGCTCCTGGTGTATGTGCAGAGCTTCATGAACTTTTGTATACTGTAGTTATAATAAGAATTGGCATTTTTTATATTGGCTACTCATTAATAATTAAATCTAAAGATTCAGGTAAGCCTAGGTCAATCCAAAAGAAATGGCAGTTCAAGGGTGATTTGGATTTGCTTTGCCAAATACAATTCATAACAAACTAAAAAAAAAAATACACTCAAAAGAAATTCAGTGTATGCTCAGTTTCTCTTTAAAATGTCTCCAATAAAATATCAACATGATGTATTTCATAAGTGATTAATAATAATTTAATGTTATATGAGTATTTTATAAACTCTTAAGTTAAAACTGAAATGCATATTGGCTTTCTCACTTTTTTTTTTTAACCAGGTTGCTCATCAACCTAACTGTATAGAAAGTTCACTGTGATTTTTCAGAGAAAAAAGGAAAGGCCAATGTTCAGACAATGTGACTGGCACACTGGGGTAGGTACATACTCAGTTTAACACTGTGAACCATAAGAAAGGTTTTCATTCCAACACCCTAAAGTTGCACAATTCTTCTGAACCTCTGTAATTACTAAAAGAGAACTTCAAAGATTTTAAAAAGAGACTGACTAATTTTTCATAAAATGAACTCCAAAGAAACTTTACTTGGCACAAAATGACTAAGAAAAAAAACCCACTCGTTTTTGGAACTGGGGCTAGAGCTCAGAGGTAGAGTGCCTGCCCAACACACATGAGGCCCTGGGTTCAATCCCCAGCACAGCCAAATAAAACAATCTGTCCTATCCAAGAGGAAACTATTTCATTATCACAAATAAAAATATTTGTATTTTTTTTGCAGTTAGACAACAATAAATCCTATATCAAAAAGCTTTCCCTGATAAAACGTGTGCAGAACACACACCAGTAGAGCAACACACCTTTCTTCACCTTCCTAAGCTGCTGGCTGAAATTTCTTCCTGGATTTTACTTAGGTACAAGTCAATGCTCCAAAGAAGATAGAGAGGGAGGGAGGGAGGGAGGGAGGGAGGGAGGGAGGGAGGGAGGGAGGGAGGGAGAGCGGGCGGGCAGATACCAGGATCCATAACACCCATGAGACACATTTTTACCCAAATTAATTTTTACCCAAATCATACCAATGTAGTGACCCAGAAAGACTCTGTGCATCTCAATTAAAGAATGTTTATCAAAACTAAGGCCTTTTTAAATCTACAGACAGGACCACTGTGACTGCTGTAATTCTTGACAATTTAAACATGATTGGAAGGGTCAACCCACAGTACATTTATATATTTTCATTAGTAGATTACTTTCAATTCTAGACCACCATTCTGGCAGGCTATATTATACTTTTTAAAAAATGAAGCTGGCACCTATATTCCAGGACTTATTGTAAATAAACACAAAGCTACTGTCACAAAAGAAAAAACTAAAACAAAGCTGCCACCAACACTGAAGGCCAAGTTTCTCCTGCAGTCCATTCATGGCGTCACTTCTAAGTAAGAAGGAAATGTGCTTGCACTCTACGCTTCTCCTTTCCTCAACCAAAAAAGAAAGGAAATATGGTGCAGGTAGGACTCCAGATGTCAGCCAGGACAAAACTGAAAACTTTCACAAAGCATCCAGAAAGCACATGCTCGCACAAAACCCAGTTCATCTAGACTCAATACTCGAGCAGTGCTGACTTCAGAGTATAAAAACACACTGAAGTGAGAGGCCTTCAAAAGGCAAAGCTCAGGACAGACTGCCATGTTGAGTTGTGGGGAAACAACCAAAACCAGAATACCCCAAGGAAGCATCCGCGTGCCCTACACACACACACACACACACACACACACACACACACACACACACAAAATGACAGCGTTAGCTTTCTGTAACAAGACAGACAAGACAACTTTCCATAGAAAGTTGGCCTAATATGAAACAGAAGTTCAAGTGAGCCAAGCCACTTCCAATGCTGAGAGAAATAAAAACAAAATTCAAGATCAAGTCCAATGCAAGAGCTAATTAGTTGGTCCACAAAGAGCCAAGAAAAACTCCCTAATTTCAGTTAGATATTGCACACTTGAAAAACAAAAAGGGACATTTAGAAAACTACCTTAAATTTCTTTAGCTGCTGACTGCTCTTTGGCTAGTGTCTGATCAGTACTCAGTCCTATGACATGTTTCTGGCTTTCTATCATTTGCTTGTAAACCACCGAAGGGTCACATCTCTTCCAGGGACCCGCTGCCAAAATGGACTTTACACTGTAATCACACAGACAATGTTAGAAAGCAAGAGTAGCAAAATGATTTTAAAGGTATTATTTTTTTCTTTCAGCTTTCAAATTATCTTTAGCAGTTTCTAAAGACATGGTCACAGCTGCCCGAAGCATGTCTTCTTCTCTCGCATCATCACCTGCTGGGAAGAAAACAGAGTTCTCAGAAACACTGCTGGAGGATTCTCAATCATTAAAAGGCAAACTTTTGAATTAGAGGTGTAGCTAATTGGGAGAGTGCTTACGCAGCATGAACAAGGCCCTGGGTTCAATCCGTAGCATGGTATAAAAGGCATGGAGACATACTCCTCTCATCCTAGTACTCAACAAAGAGGCAGGAGAATCACAAGTTCAAGGTTGTCTTTGACTATATAACATTTGAATCCAGTCGGAGCTACATGAAACTTAGCCAAAATGAAGAAAAAAAGAGCAAACGCTTAGGAAATACATTTCTACTTGAATACTAATTTTTCTTTTTTTTTCATTTTTTTTAAGAATTAACTTAATAAATCTGCAGACATGGTGTCATGCATGACCTGTGTAGAGGTCAGGACAGAAGGACGAGTGCCTTCCTTCCAGCAAGTGGGTTCTGATGATTGGACCCAGGTAGTAGTCAGGTTTAGCAGCAGGTATCTTTCCCTGCTAAACCTTCTTGCTGGCCCTAGTTTCCTTTTATTGACTTTGTAATTCACATGCTATTTGAGTGGCACTTTAAAATCCACAAATGGATAGAGAACAAAATACCATACGACATATACCTATTGTTCCTCCTTGTCCAGTAACTTTGTGACCAATCCAAAGTCCAGCCAGATGTCTGTTTACAGTTCAGCCTGTCTGGCAAATCATGGTCTCATATGGTATATGTAGCCTTCTGAATGTAGAACTTTTCATTTACCATAACACATTTGAAATTTGTGTTTATTAACAAATCAGACTTTTTAGAAAACCTTTTTATTTGTAAACAATTAAATTCATAGGAAATTGCCCTGTGGACTTGTCAGTTCAATTTCTCCCAACAGTTACATCTTCTATAACTAAAGCTCAAACTGAAACACAATAGCACAATGTTGGTGGTTCTACGTAACTTTAAAATATCTTTTCCATTTGTTGGTTATTTGTTTTGTTTGGTTAAATGCCTAATATGGCATTTTATCACACATGCAAACTCCTACCACCATCACCACCACTACCAAGACTGGAGGGCCAGGGCATGCCTAAGCTGTGGGGAAAGGATGACATCCTGTGTGAATGTGGATTATTGATACAAACACAACTGTATCAGGAACCCTAATGTTTCAGACACATGGGAATGGCAAAGCCTTCCCTGGGTTAGGCTCAGAGGAATGTTCTTCTGGTCCAAGAGAAACATTAAAGCCTTCTCCTGGTCCTAGCAGGGATGTTAATGATGAATGGCTAATCACTAGCTAAAACCAGTGTGAGTAGAAACTATCAATGCAATTCCTTTTAGATGACTACAACCGGGACTGATCCCCTACAGAGACCACCTCATCAACATTAGCTAACTAAACCACCCCACCCCATCCTGACACGTATGCACATGCCTCCTCCTCTTTTGTGCTATACTTAATAAAAGCACTGAGTTTCCAGGCTGCTGGTGGTGCATCTACATCAGAGTACATGGCCTACCTAATCCCAGCTTTTCTGTGTCTATTATACTTCATTCCCCAGCATTCTGTTTAGGGTATCCTTAAACTGTCTAAGTTGAGGCACTTGTGTATAATCCTTGCCTAGCATGCACCAAGCCCCAGGTTTGATTCTAGGTACTACAAGAACCCGATAAAACTATAAAGCACCACAAATCTCTCCCTCCTGCATTACTTTCTATTCATGCCCAACTTTCCACCATCTGGTCTATATTGCTGCCCACAGTATCTTGTTCTCTATCTGAATACATCTGGGAGTTTTAGAATGCTACACAAAAGGCACCTCAGTGTGAAACCTTTCCAGACTGTCTTCAGCCTGGCATAATGGTCCTGAGGTGCAGCCCAGATGCTGCATGCATCAAGAGTGTTTCTTTTTAATCCTGAAAGTAGCACTCTATGGCATGAAGCACTACAGACTGTTTAACCATGTATGCACAGAATGTATGGCACACTGGCTGTCTCCAAATTTTGATTGAAATCAATAAAATAGCTATGAATATTTGTATATATACTTTTGTGGGAACATACATTTTTAAAACTATGGCATACATACCTATGAGTATAACTGTTGGGTCATATGAATTATGTATTCAGCTTGTTTGTTTTCTTGAAACAGGGTCTTAGTATATAGCCCTGGCTGGCCTGGAACTCACTGTGTAGACTAGGGCAGCCTTGAACTCAAAGAAATCCACCTGGTTCTGCCTCTGGAGTGCCAGGATTAAGGGTATCCTGGTGTATATTCAGGTACTTACTTAAAGTCGCTATTCCCAGTTAAAATGCAACAGAAAGAGCTCACCCTCAAAAGGAGGGAAGTGCATTTAATATCATCCACTCTTCCCGTCCTTGCCTCAACATCATCATTTCTTTTCTGTTTTGAGAACTTTCTTTAGTTTAATTGAAAATAGATTCTTTTTTATACAATATAGTCTGTGGTTTCTCCTCCCTTACCTCCTCAGAGATCCTTCCCACATTCCCATCCACCCAACTTCATGCCTTCTCTCTCTCTCTCTCTCTCTCTCTCTCTCTCTCGAAAAGAAACAGGAAATTTTTTTTTTTTTTTTGGATTTTTCGAGACAGGGTTTCTCCGTAGCTTTTGGTTCCTGTCCTGGAACTAGCTCTTGTAGACCAGGCTGGCCTGGAACTCACAGAGATCCGCCTCTGCCTCCCGAGTGCTGGGATTAAAGGCGTGCGCCACCACCGCCCGGCAAGAAACAGGAAAATTTAAAAAACAAAAGAAGAACATAGTTGAACAAATGCTTTTGTAGTATGATTGGGTATCTCTTGGGTATATTCCCAAGAGTGGAATTGCTGGATCCTGAGGTACATTGACTCCCAGTTTCCTGAGAAACCGCCACACTGATTTCCAAAGTGGTTGCACAAGTTTGCATTTTCACCAGCAATGGATGAGTGTTCCCCTTACTCCACAACCTCTCCAGCAAAGGCTATCATTGGTGTTTTTGATTTTAGCCATTCTAACAGGTATAAGATGGTATCGCAAAGTTGTTTTGATTTGCATTTCCCTGATCGCTAAGGAGGTTGAGCATGACCGTAAGTGTCTTTTGGCCATTTGAACATCTTCTGTTGAGAATTCTCTGTTCAGTTCAGTACCCCATTTTTTAAATTGGGTTAATTAGAGTTTTAATGTCTAGTTTCTTGAGTTCTTTATATATTTTGGAGATCAGACCTTTGTCTGATGCAGAGTTGGTGAAGATCTTCTCCCATTCAGTAGGTTGCCTTTTTGTCTTAATGACAGTGTCCTTTGCATTACTTCTCGGTTTCAGGAGGTCCCATTTATTCATTGTTGCTCTCAATAGAAGAATGGATAAAGAAGGTATGGCACATATACACTTCAGAGTTCTACTCAGCGGTAAAAAACAATGACATCTTGAATTGTGCATGCAAATGGATGGAAATAGAAAACACTTTACTGAGTGAGATAGCCCAGACCCAAAAAGAGGAATATGGTATGTACTCAATCATAAGTGGATTCTAGCCATAAGCAAAGGCTATTGAGCCTATAGTTCATGATCCTAGAGAAGCTAAATAAGAAGGTGAACTCAAAGAAATACATATAGTTAATACTCCTGGATACTGGAAGTAGACAAGATCGCCGGGCAAAAGTTGGGAGCAGGGGGATGGGACTGGGTTGGGAGAAGGGGAGATGGGGAGAGAAAAGGGAGAAGGGGAGGATTGGGGAGAGATTGAGGGAATGGGATAATTGAGATGGAGAAAGGGTGGATATGGGAGCAGGGAAGAAGATATCTTAACTAAGAGAGCCATTTTAGGGTTGGCTAGAGTCTTGGCTCTAGAGGGGTTCCCAGGTGTCCAAGGGGATTTCCCCAACCAGGTCCGTGGGCAGCAGAGAGGGTGCTTGAACTGGCCTTCTCCTATAGACACACTGATGAATATCTTGCATATCACCATATAACCTTCATCTGGCGAGGGATGGAGATAGAGAGAGAGAGACCCACACTGGAGCACTGGACTGAGCTCCCAAAGCCCAGATGAAGAGCAGGAGGGAGAACATGAGCAAGGAAGTCAGGACCGCAAGGGGTGTGTCCACCCACTGAGACGGTGGGACTAATCTAACGGGAGCTCACCAAGGCCAGCTGGACTGGGTCTGAAAGAGCATGTGATCAAACCGGACTCTCTGAATGTGGCTGACAATGAGGGCGGACTGAGAAGCCAATAATGACAATGGATTTTGATTCTACTACATGTACTGGCTTTTTGGAGCCTAGTCTGTTTGGATGCACACCTTCCTAGGATGGATGGGGGGGGCCTTGGACTTCCCACAAGGCAGGACACCCTGACTTCTCTTAGGACTGGAGAGCGAGGGGGAAGGGGATGGGGGAAGGGGGATGGGAGGAGGTGGAAATTTTAAATAAATAAATACAAGAACAAAGCTAGGCAGTGGTGGTGCTTGCCTTTAATCCCAGCACTCGGGAGGCAGGTGGATTTGTGAGTACAAGGCCCATCTGGTCTACAAGAGCAAGTTCCAGGATAGGCTCCAAAGCTACAGAGAAACCCGGTCTCAAAAAACCAAAAGAAAAGAAAAACAAGCAAACAAACAAAAAACTTCACAGAACAAAGGAAACACACACACAAAAGCACACTAGACATACATACACATGCAGAGACAAACATGCACACATAAAACCCATAAAAACACAAAATCAGAAACTGTAATACAGAAGCAAAAGACTAGTAAAGTTTAAAAAAAAAAAGCCAAAGTTTTAAGAGACAAAACTTCTTCAAAAGAGCACTTAGCTTGTTTTGAATGGCCTGCTCTTGAATGTGATTGGTGTACCCAATGAGACTCTGATGGAGAAAACTAGCCTTTCTTCTGTGAATGGTGTCCACTGGAGACAGTTTGAGTTAGGGATGGGAAATCACATTCACTTCCCCATCTCAGTGCTGAGACCCCACAAAGCTTGTACTTGTGGAGACCCTGTGCATGCTGCCACCATCTCTCTGAGTTTGTTTGCATGTCAGTTCTGTTGTATCTGGAAGGCAGTATTTTCCTGGTATCTTCCATCCCCACCGGTTCTTACCATCTTTCTGCCACCCCTCCTCAAAGTTCTCTGGGCCCTAAGGGGCAGAATTTGATGGAGACATCCCATTTAGCGCTGGTGCTCCAAGGCCTCTCATTCTCTGCACATTGTGCAGTTGTGGGTCTCTGTAACTGATGGCTAGTCCTGGCTCTGATGATAGCTCATCTTCCTAGGCCACTCTGTTCTTTAGCTTTTTGTTTTGTTTTTTGAGACAGGGTTTCTCTGTGTAGTGCCGGCTGTCCTGGAACTCACCTCCCAGGTGCTGGAATTAAAGGCATGTGGCATCACGTTAGTCTCCCTTTCTTTAGTCTTTAAGGACTGTTGGACACTTTTCCCAATTCTAAAGAGTATGTTAATTACTGCATATGTAACCCTGGGTTAAAATTTTCTTTCAGCATTTTAAAACACACGATCTGCTCCTTCATTCATAAGGAAGCCTTTGTCTCAAACTGCTGTGGGAAGGTTATTTCTCACTAATCTGGGACAGCGTCTTCAGTTTTCAGAAGTCCATGAGTCTTGGTATGTATTTCTTTGGGTTGATACTAATTTGAAGTTCATTAAACTTCTTCAGTCCGTAGCTTTCTGGTTTTCAGTATTTTTCTGCTCTCAAATGTTTATGTGGAATCAAGGTGTAGCAGAGTATGACTATAATCTCAGCACTCACAAGTAGGACAATGGTGAATTTGAGGCTAGTCTGAGCTAGCTAGTGAGACTCCACCTCAAAAAAAAAAAAGGATTAAATTGTCTATGTAGCTCCTCCTTTTATGGTTCTGGTATGACAGTGGTTTTCAGCTGAACCCTGGGTACTTGGACATTGTCAAACTGCAAATCGTACTCAAGTCTGTGTTTTATGAGCCTTAAAGGTGTCTGTGTGGGGGTATATGTACATCAACTGCAGGTACCCACTGCAGCTGGAGACAGGAGTCTTTATAATGTGCCCTCTAGAGGAAGACATATCAACAATCCTTTAACAATTTATTAACAGTACAATTCTGAGAGTTCTGCATAGATTCTCCGTGAAGTCCTCTCACAGAGTTTCTTTTCCATTCAACTTCTACCAAGACTTGGCTCAAGTTAAGACCTATTAAATCAAGGCCTCGTAAGTAACCCCAAATTCCAGTTACTATCTAGATTACACTAAAGCATGTTTTCCATTATTAGGTGGGGAAAGGTATTTATTTTCCACTTACTAATATTTATCATCTCTGGAGGATTTTTAAAGAATGTGCTGTGAACTTCAAGTAATATGTGTGTGATTCAAAAAACCAACCAGGGCATGGCTGCTGCCAGAGTAGACAACACATAATGTTCCACGCTAGCCTTAGCCACATAGTGAAATTGTTAGACAGACACACAGACAGACAGACATTTACCAAGTGTTTTAGTCTGTCTACCTCTTCTTTCAGAGGAACTCAGTAGATTACAAATCCACTTAAGAGTTTCAATACAATTAAAGAAGGAAGAAAATATAAAGTAAAAATGACATGAACCTTGGATGTCAAGTAAAACATTTGAGTAACAATCATGGTGGATACTCAGAGTAATTCATACCTTGGTTGTTCCCAAGTCCTCCTGAACTTGTGGTCGGTCTTTCACAAGGGTAAGAAAGCTGCCTAGGTTGGTCTATCTCCTGCTGATGTTGAGGCTGTTGTTGCCTGAAATATTCAAAAGTGATTATCTGTTAAAACAATACCCAAGAAATAAATATTCCATGAGACTACCTATTCATGTAGGCTGTTCCATAAATCAAAATGGCACTGGCCTGAACACTCAGAACATGAGAATTAGTTTGACAATTACAAGTATAAAAGTTTCAAAATTTTTATTCTAAAAACCCTACATATTTGAGTTATCAGACACATAGGTATTTTCATTTTCTGCATAAGGCTCACTAGTATTTATTCATATGCAAATGAATAAGGTTTATGCATCTTTAATATTATTAGGAGTCACTGAAGACAAACTATCTCAATTTAATATGCTCTTTCCTGCCTGGCTCCCTCTAGTCCTTTAAGTCTGAATTTAGCACGCGTCTCCTTGAAGGCTGTCCTGGCCATCCCTCGTCAAGCCCTCTCCTGGCCTTCTTACTATTTCACTTGCATTCTCACTGCCTCCTTGATGCTTGTGTTTGGGCTGCAAGCTAACCAGAGCACAACCTTATGATGCTTAGCTGTGTCCCTCACACAGCAGCTACATCACATACTTGATGAATTAAAGAAATAGAAGCAGTTGTATGATGACAGCAATGCTGCTGTATATTGGAAGTATGTGATCTGCGACTTGATTTTGATTTTACAAATCTTACAGTTAAGAGATTGCATGAATCTCAGAAGATACTTTTTGAAGCAGTCATAAGACTAAAAGACTTATTATTATGACATAGCTACTAGCTTATGGGAGCCAGGGAGTAAAATGTGGTAGTTTGAATATGAATGGCCCCCATAGGCTCATATAGATATGGCCTTACTGGATAAAGTATACCACTGGGCAGTGGGCTCTGAGGTTCAAATGCCCATGCCAGGCCAGCCTCTCACTTTCTGCCTGTGGATTCAGATGTAGAACTCTCAGCTACTTCTCCAGTACCATGACTGCTTATATGCTACCATGCTCCCCATCATGATGGAAATAGACGAACCTCTGAAAGTAAGCCAGCAACAATTAAATGCCTTCTTTTTAAGAATTGTCGTGATCATGTTGTCTCTTCACGACAAAAGAATACTGACTAATACAATCTCTCAAAAAAGACTGTGGTGACTTGTGCCTGTAATATAAGTTGCTCAGGAGGCCAAGGGAAAAGGTCACCCAAGCCCAGGATTTCAATACTAGGCTGGGTGTTATATATCCCTATATCAAAAACAAAACAAACATGCAGGAGTATATCCTTGTATTTAGAATATGTATGCTGAAATACTAAGCTGCAACAAGAAAGAATCTGTTACTCCCAGACACTTCTGATCTGTCAACAATCTGGGGAAAGGACATGGGAGTTCCAAGGAGCTCTGCACACTAGTTCTACTGTTTGATAAGTAAGAAACATACACGAAAAACTACAAAGAAAAAAACAAAAACAAGGAAAATCTAAAATTAATTGAGATTAAGAAGTCAAATTACAAAGCTGTGTCTGATTTTAAAAGGGCCAAAATTCAATTATACACTGCATGATTTTTTCTAGTGTTCCTCTCAATTTTGAAAAAGGCTTCTGGTCAGGTTGCTAGCTTAGGATGACCTTGAACTCTAGATCTGCTGGCCAAAGTACACCAGGCAACACCACACCCAGCTCGTCCTTCTCAGTTCTGAGCTTTATAAGTGAGCAACAAGACAACTCGGTAAGTAGAACTCCATCTTCTCTCTGTTGGCCTTCTGCTGTTGTGTGCCTTCCTTCACACATGGCCAGTCTGGAGCATGGCCTGAGCTCTGGGGATCCTAGAACATCATGCAGGCTCCCCCATGCCCTTGTCTTTCTCCACTTAAGAATCTAAGTCTGATAGAGGGAAAACTTAATCTACTTAATTTTTCATTTAACTGACATATTTATTGTACATATTCATGGAGTTATTATAATTTTAAATTATGTAAAATGGGAAGAAAATCAGCTGCCACCCTTGAAACGATCACTCGGAAGCACTGAGGACGCAGCTATGGAATAAGGTCCTCAGGGCCCTACCCACCATGCATCAGTCTACAGAGGCTGCAGAAAAAGCCTAGTTTCTGGTCACAGAGTAAGTAGTCACATGAGCTACAAAGGGCAGAAATGAGTCAATGAGGCACAGCTATTTTCCTGATAAGCAAAGGCAAGGAGATTTCAGCCCTAACTCCTATATCTCATGGCTGTTTCAGTGAGACCAGAAAGTCTTGACAACTACAATATGGCTTCCTGATTCCAGGATCACAGTTATATCTGTTTATTTTTATTTTTTGTTTGTTTGTTTTAAGATGTGGTTAGGGAGTTACATGTGATGGTGCACACCTTTAAACCCAGCACTCCAAAAGGCAAAGGCAAGCCTCTGTGAGTTTGGGGTCAGCCTGGTCTACATAGTGAGTTCTAAGACAGCCAGGGCTACAAAAAGAAACCATTCCTCAAAAAAAAAAAAAAAAAAAAAAATCCAAAACCCAAAAAGAAAAAGATTTAGTTAGGGGCTAGAGAGATGATTCAGCAGTTGAAAGCACTGGCTGCTCTTCAGACGACTTGGGTTCAATTCCCAGTATCTACAAGTTCACAACTGTCTGTAACCCCAGCCCCAGGTTCAGGGGTTCTAATACTCTCTTCTGGCCTCCGAAGGCACTGCATGCACATGCTACACATATATACATGCACGTAAAATACCCACACATATAAAATCAAATTGAAGAAAATGTTTTTTTTCTAATTTAATATATTTATATCTAAAACATAAAAATGTTTTAGATTATGTATGGGTAGGTGCCCTCAGAGTGAGAACAAAGTATATAGTCCTCTGAATCTTGATGTCAGTCATGTGTCGTGGGGTTATCTGATCCCTGTCATTCTAGTCAGGAGCGGTCACAGCCCTTCTCACAAACTGCTCTACACTTCAGAAGCCTGGCTCAGAACTCCCTAACACTATAAGCCTCTAATTTCACTATTAATTAGTGTTTTGTTTAAGTACTCTTACCTGTTTCTCTTTCTTTTTTGGTTTTTAGAGAAAAAAAATCTCTCTGTGTAACAATTCTATCCTGGAACCTGCTTTATAGACCACGGAGGCTTGAACTCAGAGATTCGACTGCCTCTGCCTCCCGAGGGCAGGGATTAAAGCCACTTCTAGTTTTATTTTGTTTTGTTGCTATTGTTTTAATCAAGACAGAGTTTCTCTGTAGCTTTGGAGCCTGTCCTGGAACTAACTCTTGTAAATCAGGCTGGCCTCGAACTCACAAATCCACCTGCCTCTGCCTCCTGAGTGTGCCACCACCTTCCAGCTCCATTTTTGTTTCTTAAACTGAACTGTCTGATAAACTAAGTCAAGCCATTAAAGTGAATGCATAAGTATTAAGCAATCAAAACATCATGACACTCCTTGGCTATGAATGTTTGTATCTGTCCTACTGGGAAACACTATTTCTTGTAACAGGCAGACTATAGCATTCAAAGCTATACATAAAGACATTAATGATGTTAACAAATATCTGTAGAACACATAACAGCCGATAGCCTTCAGACCCACCACTTAATTCTGTGCTCCCAACAGCAGGCATTAATGGTGCTGGTATGGACTCTGGCTTGGGGCTTTCTGACTGATAAACAGATATGCAGATCATTGCTAGAAAAAATGTCATGCCAAGGAGATATTACTTACTGACCCTTACTCATAAACTATGAATTCATAATAGGCTATTTTTAGTAGTATTTTTTTACACAAAAACAGAAATCCTATAATGTGTTTTATCTGATATCTACATTAAGTATGAAGCTTTTAACACTCAATAGTGACAGACAGGGATGAACTGTGAGTAACTGGAGAAGGAAAGAAGGCCAAGAACAGAATAATCTAGAGAGACAGGGAACTATTCCAGCTAAGCAACCAAGGGTATGAGTAATGGCAAGTGCAGCATGCACGTTTAAGCAATGAGCCATCCTCAGGCCCTTGGCACCGTTCTTAAACTTTAGTAAACTAGCACTTTTAAACGCCAGTCGATGTTAAAAATAAACATCACAAAGTTAACCCTTAATTCATCTCAGTGCTACGTGACTAACTAGAACAGTGCCTGGCTGTCTTTAAGTTCTCAACAGAGGATAAAAGACTAAAGCTAGAAACAACTTCAACACACAAACAACCACTAGAAAGAGGCATGCTCATACCAAAAATGCTTTTTAAAAAGGTGCAAGGTTGACCAAAATCTTTATCATCTCAAAAGCACTAGTATTCATCACGGGATGTTACTGAATTACCTTTACTGCTACTCAAAGTTCAAACCTACTGGAAGTTTCAAATTTTTATTTCAAGGAAGTTAACAAAATGTCTAAATAAAAGAAAAGGGTTGGTAACAAGGCTTAGCAAGTAAAGACTCTTACTGTTAAACCTGACAACCTGAGTTTAAGTCATAGGACCCACACAGTGGAGGAAGAGGTACCAACTCCTGCCAAATGACCTGTATGCCATGCATAGTGTACACACACACACACACACACACACACACACACACTTTCTCCTCTCTTTCTCTCTCTTTCTCTCTCTCTCTCTCACATACACAGAAAGAGAATATACATATGACGAGAGGGGAATATATGCAGTCACTAACATCATGTATTGAAGAAAGGTATAGTGGGAATATTTTTTAAAAATAAATTTCTAGAATACTAATTTTGCCTACTTAAGTAGCTTTAAATAATTTTTAAAACTAAATATTTATATTAAATTGTTGACTACCAATATTATTTTGTGAAAACAGCATTTATTAGGGGAAAACAGACAATCCAGGTGTGGTATGCAGACTGGCAATCCACCACTGGGCAATGAGTCAGGATGAGTGGGAGCTTAGGACTAACCCAGGCAGTGAGTGAGACCAATCAAAAACTAACACAGAAACAAAAACAAAGCAACCTTACAGAAAACAAACAATTCCAAATATTTTGGAGGCACATACTAAAACTGCAATGGCATGATGACTATGACTTGTTATAAGTCCAAGCCTGTGGGAGAAGGGAAAAAATGGGAGTCAGAGGCATAATACCTGGGTCATGTGTTGATACTTACCAACTGAGTAATTGATTATATTTATATTTAGATGGGTGTATTATACATAAGTCTAAGGCTTACATAATTTAAAAAGTAATAGTTAATGCTAAAATTCAAAAGGACATGAAAAGCACTAATAAGTACTATTTTAAAATGTAAATATAATTAAATCTATGAATCAGTCACTGAATAAAGACTAGAAATATCTCACATTAAGAGGATGTCAGCTGTTCAGAACTTTCCTTCATATACTTCTGAGTTGTGACTTAAAAAAACAGAAAACAGAAAAGGGTAAACATTATCTTCACAATACCAGCAGAGGCAAAATGGTCCAAACTTTATACCACTAATTGGCCAACTATGAGTCTAAGATGTGGCTGCTCAAGTTCAGAGGCGCTGATTGATGTGTGGCCGCTGCTGTTGTGCTGGGGTGAAGCCCATGCCTTACACAGGCTGGGTGAGCATTCTCCACCAAATTGCGTCCCAGATATTCAAAGAACTTAAAATGTGAAAACAAATGCTTCCCAGATTGTTGAGACGAGATATATAACTGTAGAGTCCATCTCTGGCCTTATCTTTCTGATCTGAGATCAGAGGGTTCAATTATCTATTATTGATCATAATTATTGATCATATTATCTATCACTTTTAAGGTCGAGTTCGGTTTAAAAATAATAAAAAAGCTAAAAATGATGACATATATCTGTAATCCTAGCACAAGGGAAGCTGAAGTAGAAAGACAGCCAGGAGTTTAAGGCCAGCTAGACCACATAAGAAAACTCTATCCAAAAAATAAAAGTTTTGTGAACAGCAATTACTAGAAAGAAAGACATTATAAAAGTAAATAGCCAAGCAGTGGTGGCCCATGCCTTTAATCCCAGCACTCACGAGGCAGAGGCAAGAGGATCTCTGTGACTTCGAGGCCAGCCTGGTCTACAAGAGTTAGTTCCAGGACAAACTCCAAAGTCACAGTGAAATGCTGTCTCAAAAAACAAAACAACAACAACAAAAAAAACCCCAAAAAACAAAAAAGTATAAACATTTATTTTTAGTACTTACAAACTGAGTATACCATGTGGTTTGGGGAGTTTATGGTTCCGATTGATGGTTTCTATGCTCCTGGTGCTAATGGGTCTTGGGCCTCCTAAAGTGACAACCAGCAGGACTACAAAGCACCTACTGCCTGTACTCGGGAAGATACCCCCCCTCCCTCAAATGCTGTTTCCCTGTTAACTGATGGGAGGATTAGCAGGACCAACAGATCAATATGCAGTAACTCTTTCCTGTCCTAAGTCCATTTTCCTTCTGATAAGCAAAATCCCACAAGGTTCCCTTTATCTAAGGCCATGTAAATTTATCCAAGATTGGGCAAAGGTTTTTCTCTAAAACTGTTAAATACTTCACACTTTATTTGCTGCAAAACTTTATACACACACACACACACACATTCATAGGTTCAGGCAGTAAACAGTAACTTAAAAACAGACAAAATAAGCAAGTATTAAATATGTAACTTTAATCTGTACTAACTACTTTACTTTTCAAAGTAGGCTTCTCTCCTCTTCCGCAGCTCTTCTGAAGTAAGATTGGTACTTGACGTCTGTGGACTATCTTGAGACATATTTCTGGAACTACCTAAAAAAAGCCAATCATTTTATATACCTGTTCAAGCAGCAGTATATTTGTTCTTCCTGAGGAAGACAGAAAAAGGCACCAGATTTCATTATAGATGATTATGAGCTACTATGTGGCTGCTGGGAATTGAACTCAGGACCTCTGGAAGAGCAATTAATACTCTTAACCTCTGAGCCATCTCTCCAACCCAAAAGTTTTCTTCTTAAGAACATCCAACTACTGTTCTGAAAATGAAAGAAGGCTATGGAAGTCTCAGGGAAAACCTAATGTGTTACTGCAACCGTGGATGATGCCATCTGCAATGCAGATGTGAGAATACAAGTCCACAGTCCACCCGGTATGAGAGGCCTTGAAGACCACATTTGTGTGCCCTTTAACTTCCCCGAACTGCATCTCCACCTTCAACGGCATGGTATTCCTCAAAGCAGCCCTTGAGGACGACCATGACACACCCTTACTCTGTTCTCAACAACTTGTTTCTAAGTTCTCACTAGTAACTGTACTAAACACAGATTGCATATAAACTGTGACAATGGCAAGATGGTTTTCTGTGCATTACTGCAAGAACCCAGCAGGCCCATGCAATAAAACATGGAACTCCACGCTCCATGGAATATGCAGAGGTAGGCCTGGAGGTGAGGAGTCTAGAGTAACAGTAATAACTTTATTAATGGATCCTCAATGCACTAAGATGTTTAAGGAATTCAGATGATGAACAATCTTATTAAAAGTAGAAGTAGCTTCATAAATTAAATTAAAAGAAAATGCTTTCAGTAAACTGCTTTGTGTGTCAACACTTTGCTCTGCCGACATTCCTAAGGGGTTTATCATCTCTCCTCCACTGACAGACTTACATCAGTGAAAAAGGTATATCCCTCAAAAGAGGGCTTAAGTACTAAGTTGTCCAGCCGGGAAGTACGGGTTGTCCACCGGCATGCATTTGTTAAGACAGCTGGCTTAGCAAAGGAAGACTAATTCATTTAGTTGTTGTTGTATCAGTTCAATATTGTAATCAAATAACATAACCAGAAGTAAAATTACAGCTGTATTAAACACAACAAATAACAATCCTAATATAAGTTATAAAAGTGATTCAAGATCAGGGAAATCTAAAAGAAATACTGACATTCTAGAACTATTGCTTTTGCAGGAACTCTTAAAGAACTTCCAAAAGCACAATAATTTTCTGAAAAGCTAAGAACAACTTGAACCAGTTCTCCAAAGATGACTGAAGTACACCCCAAATGCTCATACCTTGCATGCTGAGCTGAATGGCCCTGCGGAGATCAGCTTCTTCATCCTCCATGTCGATTTCCTGGCGACTTATCGCGAGAGCCCTCTGCAAATCATCCTCATCTTCATCCAACACCCCAGCCCCGTCAGCCGCCTCTAGGACTCGTTCCAGATCTGCTTTAAGAACACTAAGCAACAAATGCATTCATAGAAATTATAGCCTGCTCCTCGATTTTATTTTTCATTAAAAAAAATTTATGTGTATGTGTATTTTGTTTGCATGTTTATCTTGCACATTGTGTGCAGTGCCTGAGGAGGCCAGAATAGGGTGTTGGATACCCTGAGACTAGAGTTATAGAAAGTTGTGAGTTACCAGGTGAGACCTGAGGATCAAACCTAAGACATCTGGAAAAGCAGCCAGTGCTCTTAGCCACTGAGCCATCTCTCCAGTCCTAGTCTTCAATTTTAGATAAAATTAAAGGCACTTACAAACTAAAGATTTTAGACAAAAAAAAAAAAAAACAAAAACAAACCACATTCTAGAAAATAAAGTTCACTAACAGAACAACTGAGTTGTAATAAGAATCTAAGCCAAGATATTTAAGTAATTCATATATGCTCATTCCATAAACTTCACTAAAACACAGCCTTGCTTATGCCCTTATGCTTGTTTATCAGCTACTTGTGAGGTGAAGACAAAAGGATGTCAAAGTTGACAACTGGGCAACTTGATGACACCTGCCACTAGAAATGGGGGGGGGGTGGGATGGCCATGACCCGGATGATGTTCAATAGTAGAGTGTGAGTGTATGCATGAAACTTAGGATTTGAGCACAAGCACTACAAATAATAATAGTAATAATTAATAATTGTAACAACTCATTTTCGGATGGGGGAGGTATATTCAAGAGATGTAGCACAGGAGGTAGAATATTTGCCTAGGATACACAAAACCCCTGGATTTGACCTCCTGCATCACAAACAAAAGAGCATGTGGCGGCACACACATTTTTAATCCTAGCCAGCCAGAGCTACTTAAGATCTTATTTCTTGTTTGCTCTTTCCATTTTTTGTTTGTTTTGCTTTGTTTTGTTCTGTTTTTCAAGACAGGGTTTCTCTGTGTTACAGCCTTAGCTGTCCTGGAACTTGTTTTGTTGACCAGGTTGGCCTCAAACTCAGGAGATCCACTTGCCTCTGCCTCCCGAATGCTGAGATTAAAGGCCTGAGTCACCACTACCTGGAGAGATCTTATTTCAAAAATCAAATCAATACAGAGGATCCTCCAACAATATGTGGGCATATCAAACTGCCTTATAAACATATTTAGGTCTATAGATTAATAGAGGTAAATAGTAAGATCTAATTGGTGGAGACATAACACACTTTGGTTACATAACAGAGAGAAATCAAGCAGGAACTGAGCTGACCAGCTTTCATAGTGCTGGAAGGTGCTATGGGGGCTGCTGGAAGAGAAAAACCATTACCAGTCTTAAGCCCTGTCACGCTATGCTGTAATATATTGCCAGACAAGATGACATGACTATTTTGGAGGGAAACCAACCACTTTTTTTCTTCCTCATCCACTTTATTTTATTTTATTTGAGACACGATCTCACTATGTAGGTGACTCTGGCCGTCCTAGAACTCAATATATAGACCTGGCTGGTCTCAAACTCAGAGAACTCCACTTGTGTCTGCCTCCCGAGTGCTGATATTAAAGACATGTACCACCATGCTTGGTCCAACCATTTTTTTATGGGATCTGAGGGTCACACCTCAGAAAGTAATTCATGCCTGGTACCATAAACCTGTCAAAAGCCCATAGGCCATACGGCTGAGGAGGTCATAGGCCCTATGTGGGGGCAAAACTACTATTGTTTTACTAAATGGACAGGTCAAACCCTTCCAAATACATTTAGACCTACAGATTTGTTCTTGATCAGAAAAAACTGTTTTGGGGGAGGGTTGGGTAGTAGATAGCAGCTACGGCAGACTCCAAAGCCTTCAAAGTGCTTGAGAAGAAGTGACTGTTAAGTGCTCAGACTTTAGGAGGATCTCCTTATCAACCCTCAAGGAACTTCAGAGCAGGGGCAGAAAGAATGTTAACAGCAGGAGATTAGGAAGGGATGCTGAGAAATGTTGTCTTCTGACTGTGACATGGCTGCTATACTCATACATAGCAGCGATGGTTACCAGCACAAACCTTCACAAAGTTCAAGCGATCAACATTCCTGCATGGATAGGGGAGCACTCATGATGCCCCCCCACCCCTAACTAAAGAGCTCCATGGTATTTATCACTGTTAAGGTAAAGGGAGTATAGACACTTAAGAAAAATTACTATACCACAGTAGTATAGTGGTATAGGGTCATCCATGAAAGCAACACTCAGTGAGCAATAAAATAAAATAAAATAAACCAAAAGAGAACAGTGAGCAATACACTCAGTGAGCAATAAAATAAAATAAAATAAACCAAAAGAGAACAGGAAGGGGACATGCTGGAAAGGTAAAGAGATTCAAAGGGGACAGAAAGGGGTTAGGAGAGGGTAATGAGAGATGAACATAATAAAAATAATTATATTCATGTATAAAATTGCTAAATAAATAATACTTTAAGATAAAGTAAAATTACATAAGCATATCAAAGTTTTGAATTCCCTGTTCCTCATCAAAGTATGTCCATATAATTTTAAAAAATGCCCAAGATTTAATGAATAAATGAAATGAAAATAGGGGATTGGGCATAACGGAATAGAACATTTGTCTAATATGAACATGAGGCTGATTCCTAGCAACATAAAAACAAATACACAAAATAAGATAAAAAAAAAAAAACAAGCTGGGCGGTGGTGGCGCACGCCTTTAATCCCAGCACTCAGGAGGCAGAGGCAGGCGGAACTCTGTGAGTTCGAGACCAGCCTGGTCTACAAGAGCTAGTTCCAGGACAGGAACCAAAAGCTATGGAGAAACCCTGTCTCAAAAAAAAAAAAAAACAACCCAAAAACCCTAACCTCTGGCAGTCTATGACCACACGTTAACTACAAGCAGTAAATGCAGTATATGGAGCAATGGCTCCATAGTTAGTATCACTTCCTGCTCTCCAAAGGGCAAGTTCAGCTCCCAGCACCCACATCCTGCAGCTCACAATCACCTGTAACTCTAGCTCTACTGGATCCAATCCCAATAGTGGCCTTGGTGGGCACTCACACAGACACAAAAAGTGTAAGCATGGACATTTAATTCTTCTGAGGGCATGCTACATCATATATTACACAACAGCACTAAAATTTACCTCTGTTCTTTCAGTTGCGCCAATTCTTCTCCAATAAGTTTTGGTCGATGCATCTGTTGGACCTTGATCATCTGCAAAAGTTGGTCAGCTTCGCAGTCTGGCAGATCCCCCTTAACAACAAATATAGAATAACCTAAAAAGAGGCAGAAACAAACTAAAACAACTAGTAGGAGGTTCAAACTTCATCTGAAATGATAGTTGACAGAAAGGTAACAGAGCACAGGAGGAAAAACATGAGGTGAAATCCAGAAAGGCCTAACTTATGTGATGACTCTCACCTGGATCAGGATCGAGCCTCACTGCTCCCATCGGTCAGACTCGGTGGCCACAGAGACAGCAGTCCTGTCTACAAGGGCCCAGAGAAGCAGCGTCTGACCACATGACTACTTGCTACAAGTAAACAAGCAGGCAGGTAGAGGAGAAGCAGAGAAAAGGACCTGGACCCAATGGCTTTTGTTCAATCCTAGCTCTGCCACTCCCCAGTGCCATAGGGTCTGTCAATCATTCACCCATCTGTGTTGGTATCTCTAATTACTAAACAGTGATAAGGAACCTTCCTCAAATGGCAAATATGAAGTCACTTTTGGTGAATATATCCAATGACTGGTAACATAGATAAAATAAGTCGCTGGAATATGTGCTGGATATGGCAGCTCTCCACCTTGCTCCCTGCCCTATCCACAGAGCTGGGAAGCCAGAACCTCAAATATAGTCAGTGTGCCAATATGCCCCACGGTTTGGGAAACAATACACTGGTACAATGCAAATTTTAATAAACACTCACTCAATAAGACAGGTTTTCTCAGCTACAACTAAGTCCAACTTAATAAATGTTTTCTACCATTGATTTTCTTGAACTTCAATGAAACAAAGATTGAGAGGGCTGTTCACTAAAAAGAATATGTTCAACCCATTTTCTTTTGATAAGGACAAGCTTATTCAGAGTTCAGATGTCTTGATGTGTTTTCTGCTAATAAACCTAGAATCTGTATGTCAGTTCACTATGAAGAGAAGATATTCTGCCTTATGCAGACATCATACTAACTCTCGATTTTATTTAAGACTCTTTTCTTTTAAATTTATTTATTTATTAAGGATTTCTGCCTCCTCCCCGCCACCGCCTCCCATTTCCCTCCCCCTCCCCCGATCAAGTTCCCCTCCCTCATCAGTTCGAAGAGCAATCAGGGTTCCCTGACCTGTGGGAAGTCCAAGGACCGCCCACCTCCATCCAGGTCTAGTAAGGTAAGCGTCCAAACTGCCTAGGCTCCCCCAAAGCCAGTACATGCAGTAGGATCAAAAACCCATTGCCATTGTTCTTGAGTTCTCAGTAAGACTCTTAATTAATTTTCAGTGTGTTAAAACCTCTAATTTGTAAAGTAAGTGTGTGATTATAATATACATTAAGTTTTTATAAAAGCACTCTGGCTGCTTTATCAACATAACATATAGAAACTAATGTCCAAGAAGAAGGATTTTTCCTCAAATGGAAGCCTGAAAGAAAGCACATATAGGTAAGCAAGCAAAAGCAACCAACCAAACAACAACCATGGAAGTCAAGTCTTTTGGGGCTGGACAGACAGTTCAGCGGTTAAAAGTACTTGCTGCTTTTCCAGAGGATTCAGATTTGATTCCTAGCACTTGCATGGAGGCTCACAGCCAGTTCCAGAGGATCTGATGCCCTCTTCAGGCCTCCACAGGCACCAGGCACACACATGGTACATAGACATACATTTAAATAAAATGCTCATACACATAAAATACTAAAATAATTTTGAAAAAAGTCTTCTTGGACATGTCTGACTTGAAATCTTCCTGGACTGCCAAATGAGGATGCCAAGCCCAGGACTGGTGTTCAGAGGAATGTCTAAGCTAAAGCTAAAAGTCTGGGATTATGCATGTACAGATCATAAACTGTGATTAAAACAATGGAAAGCCACATAAGGAAGGAGATGAGATGGGAAAGGGTATGACGATCCACAAGAGGAACCTGACAGAAGCGGCGGGTGAGACAGGCAGATGCCAATATGTAATTCCACTGTGTCATATTTAAGGACATAAGGAATCTAAGCACTGTTTGTTAACAGAGGCTAAGGTGACATCAATCACCATACCATTCCCAAATCAGCTCAAACTTAGTTAAAGTACCTAGGTTCCATTCACTCGAACACCCAGGGGTCAAGTAGATTTAGGGGGGAAAAGTTAACCAAGTCCAATTATTGAACCTGATTTCAATTCGGATTGAAGTGTGAAGAAAGCATCAGGGATGAGAGATAAGAGGCTTAAACACGGGTTAGCTGACGTTACAATAGCACTGGAGTTTGCTAGCTAGGGATACAGGTCAGAGCAGAGTTCTACCCCACATGCACACAGCCATGGGTTTTCAATCCCCATCACCAAAAACACAACATTTTTAAAGTAAGATTATAGTGCCACTGTGAATATTTTAGTAAAAAAAAAAATTACTTTTAAAGATTTCATCATGAAAATAGTTACAGAAAAAACAGTAGGGCAAACAGGAAGTAGGCAAGGTGTAAAGAAATAAGCCGTGTAGAGGTACAGGACGATCAAGAAATCATTTTCTTTCCTTTTACATTTCACATATGTCTATGAAATTTGGGAGGCCCAGTGAGAGTGAGAAGAGAGACTCGCGGGTTTATGGCAACCGACTGGAAGGGTTCAACAGGTGACAATGCACCAGAAATAGTTCTAATGGGAAAATTACAAATGGGCAAGCAGCTAGAGCTTCATAGGTAAGAGAAGCTCTTCATTCTAATCAATGGAAGCAGAGAGCTTTTACCCTGAGTTGATCACCTACATTGTAAGGGTGACTCACTGCTATTGTCAGAGATCACACACTATTACACACACAAATAATGACTCGGTTTCGTTTAAGCTACTTTCAAAGATAAAATTTTTGGTATTTATTTACCTTCTTGCTGTAACTGAGCCAAGAATAGTGCGAGGTACGTATCTGATATTAATTCTGGACCCGTCAGGAGAGAATTCAAGTTAAACCACTAAAAAAAAAAAAAAAAAGAATATTAAAGTTAATGAACAAAGTTATATGCAAAAATAATTTCTCATGTTAAACATATAACCTACCAAAATTTAGAATGACTGTCTAAATAAATATATCAAAATAAGATTCTTCTAACGTACTGAATACTGTGATTAGAAAAAAATGCTGTACAACAAATTAAGGCATAAACTTGAACTCCTTCTAAAAGCACAGAAGCTGATAGTACCTTAAAATGCCTTTACTGATAGCTATAATTACATGGTTTCAGGCTATCAGGCCAACATACCTACTCATGTCATAGTGACATGGGGGAAAATGATAGCTACACACTTTTTCACTTGGCCAAAAGACTACAATTTTTAAAAGGTAAACGTTCTGGGGAAAGAATTTATAATCGCCCTTTCATTTTAACAAAACCTCTAAGCTACCACTGAATGTGATTAACAACATGACGTCACAACCTCAGAGGTGCCCTTACTTAAATGCAAAAATGTTCCTAAGTCATGCTCGATTCCACGCACAACTAATGACTCTTCCTGGATTTTGATAAGCCACAGAGTTCTTTTACCAATCATTTCTTTCTTTACACAGGGATCAGTGGCTTGCCTCAGAACAGATACACCAAGCCTCTGCCTCTTCAGCATTGGTTAAAGGTGTGTGCCATCACACCTAGCTAAAAATCTGTTCCTAAACAAGAACGCAAATCAGAACCAAGGACCAATAGACCAATACTAGCCATCTTCCATAACTGTCAAAGATAAAATAGTTCAAAATGTAAAAAGCCCAAAAAAGAGATAAATTTAAAAAGTTCAAAACAATGTTTCCTACAAATCACTACAAAGTTGCATACGAGTTTTACATTTCTAGGCCTTAAAAATGCAGTGATTACTTTATTCAGAAAAATAACACTGGGTCCTAATTTTCTAAAGGCAACAATAAGCCCTCAATGACTACAAGGGAGGAAGGCAGAGAAGTCACACGGAATTGACCTGGCTCTTTGCAGAGGTGATTCTGTCCCAGTTCACATCTCCTTACCTGCTCTCCACACACCTTACAGAGAACATAAATATTGCTTTTTCCTTAGCTTTTGGAACAGGAGATTGAACCTAGAACCTTGTGATAATCATAAGCACCCACCCTGCTCATGATGAACAGTACCGAACAATCACCGAAGACTGGGCTACTTCCAGATGGCCCAGTTAAAAGCTAACAGTACAGTTTACTTAAAAATAAATAAATATGTATATATACACACACATATATCACACACACACACACACAGTGCTCTTTCCTTTGAAATACTTAATTTTGTGTATATGTATGTATGTGCACCATGTGTGTGCTCGGTGCCCACAGAGGTCAGGGCCACTGGCTTCTATGGAACTGGAGTAACAGTCAGTTGTGAGGTACCCCATGGGTGGCAGGAACCAAATTCAGATCCTCTGCAAGAGCAGTAAGGTCATACCCACTGAGTTATATCTCCAGGTTTAATGTATTATTTCTTTTCTTTTCACATTTAATGTAGTTTTATTCTTGGATTTTTTAAGGCAGGGTCTCACAGATTTGACTGGCCCTGTCAAATCTCAGAGATTTCCCTGTCTCTGCTAGAAGCAAAGATGAACACCTCCACACTCAGCATTTTTGCTTTTTATTTTAAAAAAACAGCTTATTGAAGCAAAACTGACTTGAAATAAACTGCTGTCCCTCTCCTCCTGTCTATCTTGAGGGTTTCACTATGTAGTCCAGGCTGGCCTTAAGGCCTCCCAAGGTCAGTCTCCTGAGAGTTGAGTCACAAGGCATGGGCCACTGTACTTGGATAAACTGCACATACTTCTGTTACAACCTGGGATTTTTGTTTTGCTTTGTTTAGTTTGATTTTTTTGAGACAGGGTTTCTCAGTGTAGCCTTGGCTGTCCTGGAACTCACTCTGTAGACCAGAGTGGCCTTCAACTCACAAAGAACTGCCTGCCTCAGCCTCCTGAGTGCTGTGATTAAAGGCGTGCACCACCACTGCCTGGCATCATTTGCAAAAATGTTTGTATTACCCCCATTAAACCATCAACATCACCAAGAGAGTGAACACACTCTTCAGAGTCCAGTCTCTCGTGTTCCTTCTCTCCATCCCCAGCCATACACAAGTACTGGTCAGTCTACTGTCATCACTGTATCTGGCACTCATTTCTGAGATTCATCTACGCTGCGGTGTATAAGCAGTTCATTCCCTTTGACTGCACGAGCTGCTTTCCAGTAACCCTTACCCAAACTGAACATTCTAAGAAGGCCGTTGCATGACTGCAGCTTCTCAAAAGCATGGTAGTGGCGACTTTATGCAGATGTATTCCCCAGCAGTGGGACTGCCTGAATAACCTGTCCCACTAATGTCAACTGCTAAATGTTTTGTTTGTTCCTGACATTTCAGGCTTTGTTACAGTACTATGCTAAACACAAATCGTCACACAAAAACATATTTAATGGTAAACACATGTGCCATATTTTAAATACAGAATATTTATACAAGTGATATAACCTGTATGTTTTTTTTCTTGAAAAACTGATGATCTTCTCTTAAGATATCCATTTTCTTATCTGTTGAACTGAGTCCAGGCTCAGGTAGAGTGCATGGGACCCTGGGCTTCAGCCTAAAGACACCAGTCACTTGCATTTTAGTTCTAAATGGAGTGTAGACTGTGATTAAAGGACAAGAAAGGAGAAGAAATATTACCTGTTTTCCTAATTTTCTAACTGTAAACCAGTGTTCTTTATAATTGCATATAAAGGATCTTTCATTTCTAGAAAAGACAAAACATATACTGTTAATACTGTTACGTTGGAATACTAGGAGATATATACTAGCAAGTACAATAAAATTTCTATCAGTTAGAATACAGCTACACTTATGTGTTACTGATTTTAAAAAATAAAAATAATCTAACTCTATGCATTTTCCACAGGAGCTTAGGGATATTACGCCCCAAAGTTTGCACACCACTCAGGTTAGTGACTTCACTGGCACTGATTAGAAGGCAGCTGCTCAAGGGTGCCACAGGGTGACATGTGAAGTCCAAGGGCTTCAAATGCAGTATCAATATAAGGCAAAGACATTCACAATGAATTCGTCCTTATTCAGAAACTGTAGCTTTAAAAATCAAGTTTAAATAAAGAAATGTAGGGAGAAAAGTCTTACATAGGATCAATTCTGAGCCTCTGGTACTCTGGACTGTTGAATAGGATTAGTTCTAAACCCCAAACTTTCAAGGCATTGCTTATAACCTGTCAAAAGAAAAACAGCAACTTTTCATGAGCTAAAACTTCAAGTCCAAATTTAAGTAGCATAGCTACATTAATTATGTAAGCAACTGTACTTTACATATAAACTTTTGAGAATAGTTTTTAAAAATTATGTCCCTATGATAACCCACTGAAGCCATAAATAATATATACATGTGAATTTAATTTCATTGTTTTTTTTTATTATTTTTGTTTACGTGTATTAGTGTGTCTGAGTGAGTATAGACTACTGTGTAAGTGCCTGTGGAAGCCAGAAGAGGATGTCAGGTCCCCATACCGTGGAGTTACAGGCAGTTGTAAGTAGCCTAATGTGGGTGCTGGGAAGTGAACTAGTCCTCTGAAATACCACTAAGCATTCTTACGTGTGAAGCCATCTCTATAACACCTACAACTCCATTTTATACCCACTGTAAACTAGTTCACTACATACAGTCGCTGTACAACTAGTTCACCACATACACCCACCTGCAACGGCAGTGACCAAAAGCATATAAAGTAAATTCTCCCTGGGCATTTAAAAATGAGCTTCAGGGGCTGGAAAGATGACTAAGTGGTCAACAGTGCATGCTGCTCTTATGGGGCTGAAGTTCAGTTCCCAGCGCCCATGTCAGGGGACTCATAATCACCTGTAATTTCAGCTCCAGAGCTCCATTGCCCTCTTCTGGCCTCCGCAGACAGTAGTACTCATGTGCACATACCCACACATACTCATATACATACACAAATAATCTTTAAAATAAAAGTAAATCTTCTTTAAGTTTGATATATTTTAGAATTCTGTAGTCATGAACAAAAAGTCAAACCTGATTATTGCAAACTGAGAAAAATGGAGAGACATTTGAGAAAATGTTCTATCTTTCCTCCCGTGTGGGCAACAAAGAAACAAGCACACTGTGTAGTAACTCAGTGTAAGGGAGCAGTAAAGCAGTGTGGGCTGTGCCAACCATGACCCATGATCCTAGCTAAGGGTCAGTAGTCCTCATACTGTCACAGTGAAGTACTGGGGACTCTAGAGAATGGGGACTCTACGAGGGTAGCATAGAAAGAATTTCTAAAGTAAATACTTGCAGAAATAGATCTCTTAAAAGACATTCTGAAAGAAGTTAGACAACCCTCAGTCGTTAGAATGAAAGACCCACAGGTAAAAGAGCCCCACAAACGCATGAATTTAGACATGGTGGCTTCCAATTGCAATCCCAGCACCTAGGAGACCAAAACATGACTTTGGAAAGTTCAAGACCAGGTGAGGCTACAAAGCAACACCTTGTCTATAGAAGCCAACCAAACATGTATACATAAATCACTGCAGGGTTAGAGGTTTTCTCTAGGGCAGAATACTTGTCAGTATGTGACAAGACTTTATATCATCCCTAGCACTATAAAGAAAAACTACCACAGAATTAAAATGGAGCCAAATGAGTCTTGGCTCTGCAGTAGAGTCTGAGCACCTGTGAGTCTTTGGAGCCAATCCCAACCCCAACCTCCAAAAGGGCTACAAATTACCATATAGATCAGAAGCCACAGAGGTACTACAGGAATCCAATCCTGTAGGATGATTTAAATGAAGGCTTCAAGGCACTGCAACTTGTCAGATGTACCAGGGATAATAAGTTTGAAGTACAGTAATTTATTAGAATTAAAGCTATTAGCACTTACATGCAAATTAAGCAATCTCAGGAAGCAAGTTTTAATGGCCCTGTTCTAAACTGAGAACGGTAGCACACACTTGTAATTCCAGTCTGGAGGCACAGATGGGAAGACAAACAAAGACCCAAACCAGCCAGGACTATAGTGAGACCCTGCCTGTTCTCAGAAAGCAAGAGAGCAAAGCTCTGCTCTGAAGTGAAGAGTCTCCAGTCCTAATGCTCATCTCTCTCTGCACTGCACTCCGGAGCAGTCATATCTTCTACAGACAGAGTTTACTGAGGGAATTCCGGAAGGCTCCACTGTTACATAAAAAGCTATGCCAGGCTGTGCACATCAACCACAAACTGAGCATAAGCACAGCAGCACTGAAAATGAGACAGCACATCGCAGGGACTACTTACCTGGATAGAGAAAAAGCCACTGTCGTCCATATTTCCAGAAGGCTGCTGTGGGCAGAGAGGATGGGAAAAGAATTAAAACTGTCATTAGGGTGCACATTTATAAGAACACACTGTACCAAATGAGGAGCAGAGTTATAATTAACAAGTCAGACTCCTATGGCGAGAATGGCTTATCCTCCTTTAAAGAGCACCCGTATTTTAAAAATAAAATGGGATTTGGAGAGTCTGAAATCAGTACCTGTAAGAATGTGCGGTAGTCTTCACTGGTAACTCCTCCTTCTGCCATTCTTATCCTTTCTTCTTCATCAAGCTGGTGTGCAATAGAGGATAGCTCCACAGGGCTAAAATATTCCCCTTGCAATAGATTATTCAGGCAATGCTGAGCACAAAGTGAGCCTTCTTGCTAGTGTTTCCAAAAGAGTAAATTTAAATGTGATTTATTAAGTGGATCTGTATAGTATATTCTAAAAAATGTAATTACTAACTTTATAATACAGTCAAAACAAACCTCATAAACCTTAGGCAAATCTGATTTTATAAGTATACACATTTTCATTTGTCTATGTTTATTTTACAGCTATATAACTATAGGAACAAAAATGAAAAATGATTTACAGTATAACTTCATCCATCCAATCTCATATAAGCATAAAAATTACCCTATAAAAACATTTGGCCTTTTCAATTTTTCAGTACCTACAAGAATTCCTCTTTGGAGATTCCATGGCAAGTGACTACTCCAAAAGGGGAGTGTTATCCCCTGGAACATCCATTCTTCTAAAGTTAGTCACTATCTGACCTGAAAGCCTGACCTTTTAAACTCAAGAGCTGGTGTAAGCGGGACAGTTCTGTCTCAGGTTAAGACTCACAGTTCTAGAGGCTCTTGGCCAACTCTGCAGACTCATTCCATGTAGCTTAGAGAAAAAAGAAATGTCCCAAGCTGAAGACAGTCCACACCCATGAGTGGACAAGCTAGTAAAAGAAGCCAAGTTCAGCTCCCTAAGAGATCCTTAGCATCCTCTCATCAAGAGTAGGTACAACATCCCATGAACCTAGGGGCTTCTAGTGCTGGTTAGCTGGCTTTCATACACAACTGGGACCCAACCCAACTCCAAGTCCAGATTGCCTGACTGAGCAGGCTTCATCACTCTCCTAGTCCTAACCCTGTTGTTTTCCTATGCTACAGGTACAGAAGGGAGACTCCTGAGTAGATGTGTTAGGTGGACACAAACCCTAAGTATGCTTTTCTGGGAGGCAAAGGCAGATGGGAGAACACTTCCTCTGTTAACTCTGGCCTCCGAACTCAACCTGCCAGGCACCATGCCTCCTGGTCTGAGCTATGTTACATGGCAGACGATGACTCGAAAGAGCACCTTTCAAGATGCATTTCCCCATGATGAATCACTGTTAGAGGAACAATATATAATTGTTGAAGTAGATACAGAATACATGTCTGTTATGGAATAAGAGGGCAGAGTTCAGAGAGCTTGAGTCTGACACAAAGCCAAAGAAAGCTTATCTTCATAGTCCTCTAAGTAATGTTGCCCCAGAATGGCTCAGAGCTAGTTGCAGTTACATGGTGGGAGAATTCTTTGTCTCTGCCTCTTTTCCCTTCTACTGTTGATCTATTACTAGGAGCAACTTCCACCAAACACTGACTACTCTCAAGCACAGATATACAGACATTCTACTTAAACCCTAGTGGAAATGCAAGCACTACACAAAGAAGTTAAGAGGCTAAAAACATACAAATTCATGAGTTATCAGGGAAATGTATATCAAAACCACAACATAGGGCAGGAGGTGGCTCAGCAGGTAAAGGTGCCTGATGTCAATCCCCAGCTACTACTGTAGAAGGAGGGAATGATGCCTGAGTACTTGCCCTCTGACCTCCACATGCACACCTGGCCACCCGCATGCCAGCACTCGCATGCATGTCTCATACATACAATGATAAAAAAAATATTTTTAAATATTACACGTATTGACTGATTGACTGGCTGGAGGGATGCAGAGGACAACTTTTAGGATTCAATTTCTACTTTCACAAAGTGGATCCCAAGGATCAAACTCATGTTATAAGGCTTGCTGAGCTATCTTAAAAACGCTTTTGTTACTGTTGTTGAGAAAAAGTCTCACTTTGTAGCCCAGGCTGTCCTGGAACTCATTATATAAACCAGTCTGGTCTCGAACTCATAGAAATCTGTTTGCCTCTGACTCCAAGTGCTGGGATTAAAGGTGTGCACCACCACTACCTACCTAAAAAAAAATTACTTTTATAAAAGAAAATTTCACAGTGTGTTACTACTATCCAGTCTCAAGATCAGCTATTAGCGAGTGAAGAGGTTTAGAATCACAGACAACAGTTGTTACAGGAGCAAATATAACTTAGCAAAACCATTGTACAAGAACCTTTATCTCACCAGAGCTCATAATTCTGTATTCTGTGGTGACGCACATACACAGCAAATGCATTCACCAAAGCACTACTTGTAGGCTTCCAAACTGGAAAGCACCCAAAGACAGTTTAGATCATAGAACTGTATATACATTGTATATGAATAAAATTAAATAAAAGTAACTGTAACAATATGGATGAATCTCACAAATACTTTTAAAAAATAAAAAACACACAACACTCAAAAGAGTAGACACCAGAGCTAAGGATGTAGCTAGTATGTGCAAGGCCATGGGTTCAATCCCTACTACCACCACCAAACTAAGACAGCAAAGGTACAGTGTGCAGCAAATGAGAGGAGCCTAGTGACCTAAATTCCATCCCTGGAACCTACTTAAAAGCACTCGGGAGGCAGAGGCAGGTGGATCTCTGTGAGTTCGAGACCAGCCTGGTCTACAGAGCTAGTTCCAGGACAGGCTCCAAAGCCACAGGGAAACCCTGTCTCGAAAAACCAAAAAAAAAAAGTCGAAGAGAACATTCCACAAAGTTTCCCCTGATCTCTATATACATACAGAGGTTTGTGTCCATTCGTACAACATATCATGTAGAAACACAAGAATAATAGCTTAAAAAATTAAGAGTTTACAAATAGACAAAATTAATCTCTTAATCCACAATGGCAGAATTGCCTGGCAGAAGTAAGTGCGGGAAGAGTTAGTTCCTGGAAGAGAGGATTAAGGGGATTTGGGATGTAGGTGTAGGAATAAGCCCAGCCCCTTAGGGGCGTGTTCGCCTCGGGCGAATGTTTACTTATAAATTGGGCAAGCGGAAGCCGGGGCACCCCTTCTGCTTTCCTGGTCTCCGCAGAACAGTGGTTCTGTAAGTCTATTTCCCCATTAAAGCTGTATATATTTTTATAATCTGTCTACATTCATTTACGCTGTTACATTTAGGCAAACAGTCTATGATTCCATGTGTGTTTTCTTGACTGCACACTTTCATGACTTGTGTGTTCTTGTGTATGACATACTTAATTTAAAGCATTCAGACTAGGTTAGGCAGTGGTGGCAAACGCCTTTAATCCTAGCACTCGGGAGGCAGGCGGATCTCTGGGAATTTGAGGCCAGCCTACTCTATAAAGCAAGTTCCAGGACAACCAGGGTTATACAGAGAAATCCTGTCTCAGAAAACAAACAAAAACAAAACAAACCATTCAAACAAGAAGGCCAGGCATGGCAGTGCATACCTTTAATCCCAGCACTCAGGAGTCCAAGATAGGTGTATCTCCGTGAGTCACCTACATATTGAGACCCCATCTCAAAAAGAAAAGAAAAGAAATCAAGAAATATCTAGCATGGTGACCAGGCACTCAATTTGGGGAAGCAGTTATGACACAATCTTCAGTCCTATTACTAGGCAATATGTTTCAGTGTGGCATTCTTAAACTACGATCACCATACTTTTTTAAGATATTTTTGTGTGTGTGTGTGTGTGTGTTTGTGCGCGCGCTGTCTGCATGTATATCTGCACCATACACATGCCTGGCATTCACGGAAGCCAGAAGAGTGGGGCTGGATCTTCTGAGACTAGAGTTGCAGAGGGTTGAGTCATCATCATACAGGTCTGGGAATCCTGGGTTCTCTGAAGAGTAGCCAGTGCTCATAATCTCTGAGCACTGAGCCACCTCTCTAGCCCCTAGTCACCATATTTAATATACAGAAATAGTGACATCCAAAATTTTGATAAAAAAAATTCTTGCTATTAAAGATTGGGGCTTTGGAGGCTGGAGAAATGGCTCAGCAGGTAAAAACACTTGCTATTCTTGCAGAGGATTTGGGTTCGGTTCACGACCAGCTGTAATTCCAGTCCTAAGGGATCTGATGCCCTCTCCTGGCCAGCTCAGTCACTTTATGAACATGGTACACTTTGACTCATGTAGGTACTCATATACATAAAATAAATGAAGTCTTTAAAAATCCAAGTATGTATCTCATTATGCCCAGTTTATGTCGTACTGAGGATAGATAAAACTCAGGCCTGAGCTACATTCCCAGTCCCTAAAATATTAGTTTTTTATTAAGAAAAATAAGCACTTAAAATCAAACCATGACCAAGTAAAATGGTACTGCTACCAGAAATATGCTCTATACTTCTAATATGATTAGTGGAAAGAAAAAACAAATTGTTTGAAACAATTTAAAAATTGGGCTGGAGAGAGTAGTTAAGAGCACAGACTGCTCTCCCAAAGAACCAGGGTTCAATTCCCAGCACCCACATGGCAGCTCACAACTGTCTGTAACTCCAGTTCAAGAGCATCTGGTACCCTCACAGACATGCATTTTTTTTCTGTCTTACTGCCACTGCCTGAGTTAGCTTGTTCCCCGTTTCTAATCAGGGTTTTACCCAAGTGGGGAGCTAGCAAGCAGGCTCAACAGGTCAATATCTGCTTGCTGTGCTCATAAAGACCTGAGCTCAATTCCCAGGACCCACACGGTGGGAGGAGAGAACCACCTCCCACAAAATTGCCCTCTGACCTCCACATATACACTGTGGCCTGTACAGAGCCCCACAATGCATACAATGCAACAAAATGTAATAAAACACTTTCAAGTATTTCACCCAAGTAAAAGAAAAACTTACTTTGCCACTAAAATCCTATGACTTGGGGTCCATATTTTACTGTATTGGGACCAGAAGATGAACACACTACACTTCCACTTCTTCCAAGATGGTCTATAAAATCACAAAAGGGAACTGTAACCAAGTCACTCCCCCAGGTTTTTGGGTCCAACCTCAAACTAGGTAAAATCCCAGTGACAGTAATAAGTATAATAGAAAACATACAACCCTAATGGTACTTTCAAAAATAGACCAATAGTGGACTGGTCTTCCTGGGTGGGTAAAGACTATGTGACTCAGAGCTCACACCACAGCCATAACTTATTGTCACCACCTCTTTAATGCTTAATGTTTTCCTATTCCTTCATTTTTGTTTTACGCTTGAGAGTGGTCCCTTGCCCATATTAAGTAAGTGCTCTACCACTGAACTACACTACACCCACAGATCTCTTCTGTTCCTTATTTAGTATGGGGTTCAGCAAACACAAGGACCTAGTAGTACTGTAGCAGTTACCACTTCTGGACAGTGTCTTAGCATGCATGACTTTGAGGCAGCTAATTTCTGTCATTAACTACAGAGGCAAAAAAAGAAAACTACAGAGAAAATAAAGAACTTATCCAGAATCCTACAAGCAGCAATTAGCAGAGCTGGAGTTCAAACCAAAGCAGAGGTTTCAAGTCTGTGCTGTTACCATTTCCTCAAATCAATTATTTGGAATTAGGTTTTCCATAATCCCCACATATCTTGAATATCACTAAGAGCCTCAACCACAAAAGGGTACAATGGATGTGACAAGGTCAATGCTCAGCCTCTTCTCCATCTTTTTGGGTTTCACATTCCCAATTCACACTACACTGAAAGGAGAGATACAGACTGCACCAAACGAAGTCAGTGCTCGAAGCACTAACAAGAGTGGCAGAGGACCCAGGTTCAATTCCTAACACCCATGTGGCTGTTCACAACCCTCTGCAACTCTAGTTCTGGGGGATCTTCTGGCTTCAGTGGACACCAAACACACAATGCATAAATACACACAAAGGCAAAACAACCATTCAAAAATATTTTTTTAACACATTAAGTGCCCTAGAGATGACTTGATGTGTAAAGGAGCTTGCTGTGAAAGCCGAGTTAGATCCCTGGAACCCACACCAGGTTGGAAGGAGAATGGACTTTCTAAAGTTGTCCTGACCTCCACACAGGCACACACACGCATCATACACACATGGTAGTAATAAAATATTTTTTAAAAGAATGCATGAAGCAGTGTATAAAGGGTTCAAAGTCTACCACATTTCAAATGGGTTCTAAGCCAAAGCCTTTGGAAAATTAATTACAAATGTATGGGGGGGGGCTGCTAGGAGCGTGGCACGTGGCTGTAATTCCAGCACTCAGGAGGCAGAGAAAGGAGGATGGGAAGGTTGGAGAGCCTGAAGCCAGCTTGGTCTGTCACAAACAAACTAGTTCCAGTTCCAAAACTGTCAGAAAAGTCTTCTCAAGAGCACTTCATTTAACAATTTCTTGATTTACATCTCTTTTGGTCTTTCTTTGCAGTGCATGAACTTTAAATGCCTTGAATAGATGCTCAATTACAAGTACTCAACAAAACAAAGACGCTTTGCTCCTACTAAATAATAGCACTAGCTCGCAACTCTCGCCAATCCTAAAACGATTATGAAACACGGTATCATATGCCAAAGTAGTCTGAGGAACACCCAAACGACTTGATAATTGTACACGAGCAAAGACCAGTTTCTCAAGATGTCACAACAATTCTTCTAAGTGTAGTCACTCAGGAAAGTGAGGAAGAAACTACCCGGATCGTACAGCAGAAAGATTCTAATCTATTCCATAATACCTAAAAAACAAAGCTGGCCTCCTAGTCCGGAAATTTGGGGTAGCAAACCAAACCCAAACATCCCGTAATAAAAACTCTTATGACGACTTCCTTTAGGGACTTCCTACTTTACTCTCCCTTCAATGGGAGAGCCACGGTAAAAACTGCTTGAAGGACGAGGGATTGACATCAAGATATAAATGTACGGGACATTCCATTACAGAACTGAGTTGAAGAGAAAAGTTGATTCTGCCAGAGGATAGGGCGAGGGCGGGGGTGGAGTTGGGAAGGGTCCACCAGGTGTGAAGAGGTGACTCGCTAGACTAGACTCTAGGGGAGAAGACAGAGAAACCCGAAAAGGCGTGGCGAGTGAAAAAGGAACGCCCGCGCTAACCCCTCTGGGTGAAGCCCCAGAAATGCCAATCGAGCGCTGGTTACCCGCCCGGTCCTCTGGGGCGAGGGCGCCAGGGGCGCATGTGGGAGGCTTCCCGAGCAGAGCCATGGAGAGGAGGCAGAAAGCGCCCCTCACCCAGCCAGGTTGGGATGGGGGCGCTCGGGCCCCGCCCTGAGCTCCTGAGGCGGCGACGCTGCTCCCCACACCCGCCGCCGAGCCCCGGACGGCTCCCCACCGAACGCCCACACTCACTTTCTCGTGGAAGATGGACTCCATGTTTATTTGTCTGGAGCCAACGGCCCCGGCGCGGAGCTGCCCCCTCGAGCAGCTCCGCCCTCGGTCCCACCCCTCCACCCCGCCCCGCCCCTCTCTGCCCACGTGCCTCCCATTAACCAATCACTACTGCGGGCGCACGTCACGAGGCGCGCGGAGCCAGGGAGCGCTGGGCACGTGACCTGGGCGGCGGGTCCCCCGGGCGCTTGTTCTCTCGCGGCGTACGCGGTGCTGCGGCGCCGCCTACCGTGCGGAGGAGCTTCTCCGCCTTCCGCGGCTCGCTGAACCGTCTTGTGTTTGTAGGGTTCTGGATGAGGATCCTCGCGTCCAGATTTTAGGGCTTTTTTTTCTTTTCCATCTTCTTTGGTACTTTCTGCCTAACTGCATGTAATAAACACCTCTTTCAAGAAAAGCTATTCTCTCAATATCTAGTACTTACGTTAAAAAAAAAACTATAGCTAATATTTATTGAGGGTTAACTTAGCCCACTTCTAAATGCAGTTTAATACGTCATATTTTGATGTGTGTGTCTGTTGTAATATTATACAAATGAGGAAACGGAGACACGAAGAAAGTAGGGACAGCACAGTGTCCAAGATAGTTTTGCTTGTTGGAATGAATATCAGGTCACGGGGAAAGTGCTCTAGTTCTGAAGGAGGGGGAAGTTCATCGGTGGGTAAGTTCAAAGTCCAACATAATGTTGGGAAAGATTAAGCGTAGGATGGGCACAGATCTTGCACCATGAAACCATTTTAGGTTCGTTAAAGTCAGCAAGGAAACTGGGTACGAAGGCTCTTTTTGTTTTTCAAGACAGGGTTTCTCTGTATATAGCTTTGGAACCAACCTGTCCTGGAATTCCCTCTGTAGACCCGGCTGGCCTCAAACTCACAGAGATCCCCCACCTGTCTCTGTTTCCCCGAATGCTGGGGTTAAAGTGTGCCGCCACCACCACCCAGCAACGACGGTTCATTCTTACAATGCTTGTACCTGAAGGTAGCGGAAGAGTATATTGATTTGGAGGACAGCTGGCATATGCCAGACTGTAGCCTGGGTTACACTGAACGACCCTGCCCCTTTGAGACACACACACAAGAAAAGAGGCAACAAGTCATTAAAGAATTTTAAAACTAAAGATATGGGGTCCAATTAGTATTTCAGAATCTCATTGGGGAACAGAATACGTGAAGGCATTTTAGGAGAAATGAAGAGATGATGGTGGTCAGAACTCCAATAGTAATTTGAGGGATGGAGAGAGACCATTTGGAAGCCTTAGGAGGCAGACTCAGAAGAATCCAGTGGGAAAGGGGGTGTTGTTAAGAAAGACTGCTGGGTTTCTGCTGTAGGCACCACCTATAGCAGGAGTAATGCTACCAGAAATACTTTGCAGAACGAGCAAGGTCTTGGGAAGAGAAAACAAAGGTTTAGTTTGTGGAATAATGAATTTAAATGTCTGTACAGCATACAGGTACTTTTGCAAAGTAGTAGACATGAAGTATGGAGTTTACAGAAACTGATTTGAGCTGTCGGGTGGGCAGCTGGAGAAATGGCTCTCTGGTTAAGCCATTGTAGAGCACCTGCCTTGTAGAGCACCTGGGTTTGATTCTTGGCACCTGCATGGTGGTTCACAACAGTTAGTAATCCAAAGGACCCATTGCTTCTTCAGATACCAGGTATGCCCAGTGATGCGTGTACATACATGCAAGCAAAACTCATACACATAAAAAATTTTAAGATGCAGGTAGCTCGCCAGGCATGGTGACTCATGCCTTTAGTCTCAGCACTCAGGCGGCAGAGGCAGGTGGCTCTACACTGAGTTTGAAGCCAGCCTGGTCTACAAAGCGAGTTCCAGGACAGCCAGGGTTACACAGAGAAGCCGTGTCTCACTGTAGAGAAAAGGAAGAGTTTGAAAGGAGGATCTGGAGCTAAGCCCTGAAGGCTGAGAGCAGGAGGGAAGAAGAGCGCAAATGCTGGCAGGTGTAATGAAATAGAAGGTCCAGGAGAGATGCTTCAAGGACTAGCCAAGACGTTCGGGGGCATAAAGACTTATAAATGCTGGTAGGTGTAATGAAATGGAAGGTCCGGGAGAGATGCTTCAAGGACTAGCCAAGACGTTCAGGGCATAAAGACTTATAAGTCTCAGTTTTGTTTCTGTTGAGATCATTTTTATGAGAATTCAAGTTAAGAAAGTGAGAGGTAAGGAAGTAGAAACTGCCCATAAAGACGAGCTAGCTACTCAAGGGGAGGTGCCGTGTTATTTGTTGAACATTCTGTATGCAATTCCTCTTTAAAACGGAGATAAAGCTGTCCATATTAGAGGGAAGCTCTTTATAACACAGGGTACATTAAAGGGAAGTGAAACACTCCCTCTTGCAAGGAAGCTAGTGAGGATGCAAGAGAATATTCTAAGGACAGGGAACACATTCCATCTTTCAGAGGGACATCTTAATTTAAGCTCTAAACAACTCAGAGACTACTTCTACAAGTCCCTGACACTAATCAGATTCCCTAGGGTCCTCCCTCTCCACACATGTATAAGCAGTAAGCACAACCGAGAGACACTCTCTGATTAGCAGAGTTGCCTAGAAGAGCTCACATCAACTAAACTGCCTGGAAAGAAGCTAAGCTACCTGTAAGGGACACTCCAACATGTTGAGCTTCCTGCGAATTGTGTGGTGCAGTCCACGTTTCCAGCTTTCGTGCTGACATGCTGGAATGGGCTTTTCGCTATACAGTTGTCTTTGAGTCATTTCTGCTCCTGTAAGTCATCTCTATAAAACTCTTTAGTCCACCATGTTGGACTTTGGTGGTATATTTGCTTTGGTCTGTCTTCAGTTTTCTTAGATGAGTAGGTGTTTCACAGCTCCCCAGGGAGAGTGTCACACATACAACATGGGCATAGCCTATGTGCTTAAGAAAATGTGGTTTAACCAGGAAATTATAGCCTCCTGGTAGAAAACGCAAATGATGTTTTCTAGTATTTTTGAAGATACAATTGTTCAAGTGAATAAATGAAGCTTGCTGCTATATAAATACCTGCCCTGGATAAATCACCATCAGAGATTTATTGCTCAATTATGGAGGCTGTGAAGTCCATGGTAAAGGCTAGAGCAGACCACAAATCTTGGGTTTTTTCATTGATGGTGTCTTTTGTGTGTCCTGGTGTGGCAGAGGAGCAAAGGGGACAAACAAGCTCCCTTCAGCCTCCTTTATAAGTATAGGGCCCAGGCCGCACAGCTGCTATAGCAGGCAGCACCAGGTTCCAACCAAAAGCCATAAGAAGGCTCTGCCCAGGAAGAGACCGTCCAAAGGAAATTACTAACATTTCAACCACTGTAGATAGGATCACCTGCCAGCACACACCCATTGCTTTTCACCAGGACACCCCTAGACAAATGTCAGCTAATCAGGGATCTTCCTCCCGAGTGCTGGGATTAAAGGCATGCTCCACCACAGCCCAGCTTTTTTAAAATACAGGAATACTAAAAAATAGAAACAACACCTTGTCTAACACCAGGTAAATGGATAAGCAATGTGGTCTTGGCAACAACTTGTATGGGACATACAGCTTGTTTTGAACTTTCTATGTATCCTTCAAGTGCTGGCAATAAGGTACATAGGCTTGAAATAGATCAAAGAAAAGAAACAAAACCTTAAGTTACTGGTGAGTGCTTCTCCCACCCCTCTGGAGACAAGTCTTGCTATGCAGTCCTGACTGCACTGGAACTTGCTATGTAAACTCAAAACTCAAGAGACCATCTGACTCTACCTCCCAAGTGTGATAACACGCCTGGCCGTGTGTGCTGTTTTTTTAGATCAGTCAAAAAATATGCCCTTGCGATATACTTAAATGCTAGTTTCTTAAAGTATTATTTATGAATTCATTTTTATATATTAATGTTAAGGGGGTATTTTTAAGCCTTATTTCTCTAGTGTTCTTTTATAATCTTCCAAGTGGTTAGTACTATAAGGGATGTTTTGTCTTTATAATTTTATTGAGGGATAGATGTCATATTGTACTTCAGGGCATCTTTAAATACTACTGTCAATCATATTTCAAACATTTTAGGTCATTAGTATTTTTCATATAATCCATATTTATTCTTGTACTTAATCACTATTTTATCCCACCTGTGACCAGGTTTTCACTCTTACCCATTTTTTGCACTTTTTTTTAAATACAGGAATAATAAAAAGTAGAAACATTGAGTGTCTAACATCTGGTGATTGGATAAACAATGTGGTCCATCCATATGTTAGTATTTTCTCTGAAGAAGTGGAACATTCCCTGCTGGAGAGGAAAGGGAAGCAGCTCATGAAACTGCAGAGACAAAGTTTTCAAGACTCACCAGCCTTTCCCCAAGGTTCTATAAGCCAAATATGAGTTGCCAGAGGAGAGGGCTCTTCAGTGGGGTGTCAGGAGCCAATTTCCCCCTAAAATCATTGCAGGAACCATCACCCTGGGGAGTCTGCAGAGAACCCTACACCCCTAATTGTGTTAGGAATCGATCAATTGACAGAGCCTACCCCACACCCAAATTGGCTGTTAATGGAGAGCTATCTGTTAGCGGAACCCATCCCACATTCCAAACTATCTAAAGAACTAGGTGTGTCAACTCGTGACTTCCTGGCCTACGTGACCAATGAGGACCACGTGACCAACGTGAACCACGTGGTAAGAGCCCAGACACCTGTGCCCACCCCCCAACTCCTTACCCTATATAAGCTTACCCCATCTCTAATAAACGGAGGCTTTGACAAGAACCCCACTTAGCCTCCTTCCTCTTTCTTAGCCCATTTATCTTCCAGATAGTGCCTCTCCGTGACCCTGGAATAATTGAACTGCCAGGCGGGTTACTAACCCTAGACTAAGTAACCCGCCAAGGCAATCAACAGTGGGGCACCTATAGGTTGAACAGGGAACCCCAAAGACTCAGCTTTTTTGAGTTGTTGCCTGTTTCAGGGTGGGCTTTTTAGTGTTTTAGCTGTTCTGGAGTCACCCATGCTTCTCAAGTGACCCCAGGAAGCTTAATGTCCACTAGGCTACACCTGGATGGA